ATTTTTCTTCATTAATTTTTACCAGTTACACATTCATTTGGAAATCGTTGTATTACGTATTTTACGTGTTTTTTTTAAATTCTGAAGAGATAAATCCTGAGAAATTCGATCAAGTCAATTAAATAAGGATTTACAAAAGCAAAGTCCTCTTAAACCCCCCCCCCCCCCGAAAAAAACCAAACTCAAACAAATCATTAATAACGTGTTACATCATAGTGTTTTTTTTATTGTTTTGTTTTTTGTTCCTTTGTTTCAAGATACTTGTGGCTCTTTTGGGTGTTGTTCTGATATTTTGGGTACTATTTGGATTTGTGTACCTGGACTGTGTGATACGATCTTAATACGAACTGGTTCGTTGGTTTTTCGATAGCCCCAGTCTTATCCGTCAAAGTTTAGGCATTCGTAATAATGAAAAAAATTTACAAAAACCTTATTTTTTTTTTTACATACAATTAATATTGCCTGCATCCTCTATTTTGTTAATTTGACGGGTTTGGAAACTTTTGGATTGCTCTCGCCATGTGCTATTTCATAGCCAGTGCCGACTCCGTGTTCTCTCGCACGTCGATTAGTGATGCACCCTCGTGAACGGCCCGGACAATATACTAGTATATAGCTAGGTATGCATATGTTAATTAATCTGACATATTTTTTTTTAAATATAAAAGGTTATAGGTAGATAATATTGTACATATACAGTATAATCTTTTTTTTTTTTTTGAAGATCTAACTCTGCATTGCATTAAACAGCTGTTAAAGACAATTTACACATATTTCTGAATAAGTGGTCGAATTTACCCCGCGTCCTTAAAATCAGTAGGGGTAATTTCGACCAAAATCAAATGGACGTTTCTTGTGCATTTTGATAGATATCCAAGATAAATTTGTACAATTCTGCAACTTAAAGATATTCCAAGAAAAAATAAAACAATTTTAATTTAATTCATGCTGTAGACTGTTGAACAAGGTTAAACTTAAAAAGAGGTTGTACGAGTTGTCTCTCTTGCATTTCCTTGATAAATCAAGCGCATTGAAGACGGGGACTTCGAACGTCAAACTGGAGACATAAATAATAGTAAAAATATTATTTATATCACTGATCAAGCCATATTTGCGATGAATAATTACACTAGGACACACAATTTGAAGAATAGTTTTCTATAATTCCGAATAAATTAAACATGTCTCAACATTTCCGTAGATCTTCGTGTAGTGTTGTGTTCCTGTGGTCGAAATTAAACGGTGGTCGAAATTACCCTGACTTACCCTATAAAACAGACAATTTTCAAACTTCTTTGTCTAAGGGTATTAAGAGCAGAAAAGTACATCTATAGTATTCATTGTGATATAGTGCCAATACCCTAATTAAAACCATGTAAAAATGACATTTAGGAAATAATTGATTTGTACATAAAGAGAAAAAATAAAACAATAAATAAATGCAGAACATTTAATAATACATTTACAAGATTAAATAAGAAGCATGATTAATTTTAATACTTGTATTTTGATATTATCTGTGCATTTTTCCTCATACTTACTAAGTCCTTGTCAGGCACTATGGACTAAATTTGAAATGAGGTCAAATTGAAAATGTTCTAGAGGACATAAATGAAGTAAAGATCCACCACATATTCTGTTTTAATGCAGCTTTATTCTCTTATACCCATTGTGATTTTAGAAAATTTTTCTGTATTTCATCATGTTGAAAATTTTAAGGAGAAATCATTATGGGAAAATACAGTGTCAAAAAAAAAAAAAAAAAAAAAAAAAAAAAAAAAAAAAAATTATGCAAAATTTTAGTCCCATTACAATTTTCAATTTTGTGAATTCCTTAAAAGAAAAATTGTTTTACTAGGTTAGTCTTTAAAAAAAATCATAGATTCACTATTAAACCCTGTGAAAAGACTTTTTACAAGTCTATTAAAAATCTTTTAGTATTTTGATGTTTATCTGAATTGTTTTTTGAAAACCTCATATTAAAGTTTTTTCTTTTTGATGTATTATATTTCTTTGCTTCGTTGACTTTAGTGGATATCTGGACTGATTATACCTACATTTTCAGTCTATATATATTCATTATGGTAAGGAGAAAAAAAAAAGAATAAATAAAAAAAAAGAAAGGTAAGTAAACTAACTGATTTCAACAGAATTACAAGTAAGAAAATTTAAATCAATTTAAATCTGCATGTGTATGAAGAATATTTAAAAGAAAATTACAAAAATCCAGAGCAACCATCTGACGTCACAAGCAACAAGATGTTTGATGATGTATCAAAAGGAAAAGAGAACCAACTTCATATTAGATGCAAGGGAGCCTCATTAGAATAATATTTTATTTTTTTTTTTTTTAAATGCATTAAACCCAGTACAGGTAGTACTACATGCATACCAGTTTCTACTCAATTGTATGGAGATATATTTCCATTGGGAACTATAAAATTAAAGACACATTCTTGGTAAGCACAGCAAGTTCTCTAAACTAGAAAAGTTTTCTAACAATAGTGATTTCAGGCAATCCGCATCATTGCATGAATTATGCAAAATGAAACGGCAGATGTACTAATCAAGAGGTGTAGATTGTATTTCAAACACACCCCCTTGCCCCAGTGGTTTCACCATCTGACATATATATTGTAATAATGATTGCAGCGAGTGGCACAAACCACCATTTAAACTGCGAACTCTTATAATAATGCCTAGGTGAAGAGAAAATTTGGACTGTGCACAATGATCCAAATAAATTTTTTTCCGCAATTACCTCGAGACCCACAATGCAACGCCAATGCATCTCACTGATTTGATCTCGCTAGTGATGGGAATCGGTAAGAATTTCATAATCGATGGTCAGGCTACTGTAACTAACTAATTATCAATTATAATCGGACATTTACAAAGTCTGTCAATTTTAGTTTATTAAATGGTAAGAATGGTTGAATAACTACTTTCTGTGGTGGTCCAGCTGTAGTTGGAATAACTTTGTCTCGGAACAACCCCTAGTCCTTAGGACAATATCATTTTAACGACAGAATGTTCTATCTAGTCAAGCTGGTTCTACACTCATTTTGTAGAATCCAAAGTACGTCCATACCCCGGAATGAGCCTTGTTACCCGGGTATGAATACAATGTCTCTTCGTCTGTGCCATTACGATACACAAATAAGTTAATAGAAAAGCTGCGGCTGGAATATTTGGCTTAAAAACTATTACGCTTTTAAAATAAAATAATTAACCCGATTTATCAGAATAAAAAATTTGTAATTGAGCGCTTGGATTATGCCAGCAATCGACTGATTTTCGATTATAATCGATGATTGGAACACCACTAGATCTCGCAGTAACAATAATTAAAAGTTCAGCAAAATGTAAACTCACTTTGATTTAATGGATATTGCTTATATAAGATTGTAGATTAAACATTTTTTGTTAAAAAAATTTGCTTTTTTCCAGACTTTGTTATGGAAATACAGCTTGCATACACAGGGCTTGTCCGGTACCAGTGAAAAAAAATTACGGACAAGTGAATATTGCTGGGCACTTGTCCGACTGGACAAGTGCATTTTAATATATAGGAGTCTCTAAATAATTAAAAAAAACGACTGTTGATAGTTAATCGTTAGTTTCAAGATGGAACTGTACATAAAAACCAGACTTCGATCCCCATAGTGATCGCTATTAATTGAGTTCACATTCAATCGGGATCGAAGTTCACTAATTGCATACTACTGAAAAGGCATGGAACTTACGAACTTGACGAAGTTTGGTTCACTTGTGGACATTTATGTTGTTGTCAGACCAGAAAGACTAGATAAAATTTCATTTTATGTGTTTGTTGTATTTATCAATAACATCACGAATCAATTCAAGCACATGTCATGTGTAATGGACTTTATTTTAGTTTTCCAGTTGACAGTATTAGATATTTATTGAAAATTTTTCGGACAAGCGAAGTTTAAATTTGGACAAGTAAATGTCTTGGTCACTTGTCCGAATGGAAAAATAGGAAAAAAAGTTAATGTCGAGCCCTGATACAATGCATATTTCCTGTCATGGAAAAGTGAAATCCTCCAAAATGCTGGGTATATGTTACATTTCTGGCTCCAAAGATGTAAAAAAATGTTGATCAATACAACAATTCTATAATTAGCATAACTTCCACTTGAAAATATCTGATCTCTAATTGTAACTGAAAGTATTGAAATATGTTGTGCAGTAAGAACAGGAAGACCTAATGTGTTTTATAGAAGCTTAGATGATAAATGTCACCAATATGCTCATCTAAACAGTTAAACCATAAAAATATCATTTAATATTTACTAACTCAAGTTTTTTTTGAACTGATACAAGGATAACATTCAGGGAGCTTAAAACTACACAAGTACCTCGACATGCACATGCATTGTACTTTGTACAAAATGTTAATTTACAACATAAATTCAATGTTAGCATCTGGCGATCAAATTACAGTGATGTTGCCATGCAATCAAATAAACAAAATATTAACTGTAAAAATAAATAAAAAAATAAAATTCTACATTACGATTCGTGTTTATTAAAGGATCATGTACCAACTACACGTGAAAAAACGAGTCCTTGGAAACCACTGCTAACCCTGCTTGTCGCAAATAACTGTGCAAAATTTTGACATCTTTTATCTTATTGTAATTAAAAACACAAATATTTTATGTACACAATACCTTTCCCAAGCATATCTGGCAGGAAATTGGCAAAGTAAATGCTATTGTTTGGTACTTGTCCTGTCTTGCTCTCACGTCAGCCGCCATCTTTTAAACTGCAAGCGGAAGTAGCGCATTAATTATACACATAACAGAAAATATCAGATAATAAGAGTAAATTTTATCAACAATAATTTTATAAAATGACAACTTCAAATTATACAGACCGAATGTTCGACAGCCAAATTATTTGTCCATGTGTCACATAATAATTTTTGAATCTACTTTCATGCTACGCGTTTAACAACTGAGTTCCAAGGCACTTCCGGTGATGAAATGATAATTGTTCCACATTTTATTCGCACAAACTGGTTCCTCTGCGGCATACTTTTTGCTATTTGTTTAGCTAGTACTGCACCAAGTATAGGAGCAAAAGGAGGTTGTATAATGTCTGTCTACACTCTCAAGTACTTGAATCATTTAGACAATGTCTTCACACAGCTGTTTCACACGTGGACTTTGTGTCTGTCATGAAGAGTAGTGTTGCAGTAGGGCACAGTGTACCAGGTCTTGTACAATCACTAGCTTTAGCTACATAGCTTGAATTACCTTCATAGCTTTATTTACCTACCTGAAGTAGCTTTATTTAGCTACTAAATCAAACTTATTTCTTAAATTAGCATTTTTCCCAGAAAGTGCAGAAAATTGCACTTTGATGCAGTGATAATTTTCAACTTTGAACTCATTTGAAAACAATTCATGAAAAAAACACTCTTGGAGATGTGTCTTTTTCTGCGCAATTGCAATCAAAATTCTAAAAGTTTTGGGGCAACCAAAACAACAGTTAATTTGTGATCTAACAGTTACTTCTTGAGTGAAATAACAAAGAAAACCAGTTTTGGTTAACCTGAGCACAATGTGAAGTAAATCATACTTATCCACGCCTCATCGCACACAAGGTGATGTACAGTTACTCAAACAATGGAAATACATATCTTCCTTAAAAGTGTTCAAACGCAGCAATTTTAAAACTATCTCTGGTTCAGGTTGCTTTTAAATAATACCTAGAATAAATATTAATAGACATTTACTTGCGACTTTTTGTCTTTTTAAAATAAAAAGCAAAATTGTGAAAAGTTGCCTTGAAATAGCTAAATAAAGCTACCTGAGGTAGGTAAATTAAGCTAAGGTAGGTAATTTTAGCTACGTAGCTAAATGTACTGATTGCACTGGACCTGTGTACTTCATGTCTTGGGTCTTGCTTTATAAATATCATAGACCTGAAGTTGTATACCTATTGATATGTAAAATGAGTACTTTTTTAACATATCAGTAGGTATATGTATTTATAAACCAAGACCCAAATACCTGTGCAGTGTCATTTATTCAATACATTGATACATGTATATACTTTAAACTGCATCTAAAGGTTTTATATGAATCCATATATATTCATATTGTTCATATATTGTGGCAATAATTGATTATTGAGGAATTAAATTCATGACAGCAAATGGGTTTCTGTCATTTTTCCCCCAAACCAGAACATGAGTGCCCCCAAGTTTTTTTTTTTTTTTTTTTTTTACAGACTCCCAAGTACATGCATAAGTGCCCAAAATTCATTTCATAATTTGACGAGCACCCCAAATACATTTAATAAGCACCCCAAATAATTGATTTTCCTGTCCATTATAACAGTGATGCCTATAATACAATAACTTTTTATGAACTAAATAATAAAATTTAAAGGTATATATATTTTACTTATTTTCATGTGCACAGTTCTTTTGGATCTATGCTGCCATTGACTCATGTTCATATGAAAGCCATGCAGATCATAAATATTACAAAATATTCTTTCATACATCATCAATCAATGTTTCAACTCTTGCATTCTCCCTTGAAAAAAAAAATGTGTTTCAAATGTTTTTGTTGATTAATTATTGACTCTGACCCCCTTAAAAAATTAGGGCACTCATGTATGGTGCACTCTGGTTTGGGGCCACAGTGACTATCACATACCCCATCAAATAAATTTTTTGCTCATATAGAGACATCACTGTCAAACTTAAAGGGTTTTTATCACGTATCTAAATTTCTTAAAAATGAAACACTATTATGTTCTTGAAACATTTTTTTATCGTTAAATTATGAAAAAATGTTGAAAACGGCTGTAATTAGACGTTAAAACGTCCGTAATATAGGGTCCTCGAAGTAAAAATCTCCACTAATTAGATAGGGGTCACGTGGTACTGAAACGTCATAGGTGTCAATGGTCAATAGAACTCGTAAAGCTTATCCTAAGAAAAGAAATATATTGAATAGATTTTTACGCTAAATGAATAGAATACAGGATATGGCCGGTTGAAAATTTGACATAGACTATATTCAATCTTTAAGGTATGAAAGTCTAGCAGAGAGAAATAACCCGAAAATATGCCGACAATTGGAAAGAGGTCACCGAAGACGAAGCCGTTGACAACTCGGGACTTCAACTAAATAGAACGAATTACTAAAGTTTAACTTCGTAAACATTTATAAATATGGGAATATTAAATTCTTCTTTGTTATTATTTTAATTAATTATAAATAAATAAATCCTGTATATCTTCTATCTGTTCTAGCAGTGAATATCATGTACTAGAAATGACACTTCTTCAATGGCGCCGTACGCCATTACGAAGTTTACAGCATTCCTACTAGATTCTGTGCGACTTTAAAAAGAAATGCATGTTTGTCATTTATTATTTTTTTAAAAAGTATCTTTCCTTAAAATATTTTATAGGACAGAAAAAAATCGTGATCGATCGGGCATAAACGATTGTTCTGAATGGAGATAAATGCCAACGCATTTGCAGAGAAAGGCCTCGACCAAGTCCATGAAATGTGAAGAAAAAATTCTTCTTAAAACCTTCCTTGTGCACATTTGTGCACCATAAAGCCATAAATTATACCTTACAAGTTGTCAATTATTCAGTTATCACTTAATTATTTTCTAACAGGTTTAAAAGACACAACAAATGAGCCCTTTTGTATACACAATAAGTACTTTGCTTGACCAGGATTGACACCTATGACGTCAGAGCAATGGCGCGTAACATCGGCGATCAAAATATGCATATTGAGGAATTCAAACTTTGAATCGCCGAAACATCAAAAATATTAATTTTCTAGCAAAGATTTTTAAATATATGATTTTAATAGCATGTAGACTTTGTCATATCAAAAAATTTTGAAACGTGATAAAAACCCTTTAACTCTGTTTGGTCAAGGGTTTATGTGGAGCGGAGTGGATTGGAAACCCTTGAGTTTGGAAGATGCAGAATTACAGGATATGAATATCATAAATTGGAAGTTAAAGTAAAATTATTTCAATGTATTGTTATGGCTTACATTTTATAGGTTCATAAGCACACTATAAGCTTGGCAATCCATGATTTAAGTGAATCCACAGGGTAATTGTATTGGCATATTTTACATTGCCATGAGAAGATAACTGTATCTTTTTTTGTCTTAGGTATTCTGAGACCAGAAATAACAGTCAAATTTCTTGCTGTAGCCATCATCTTTTTTAACAGTGGGATATCACTGAGGAGTGAGGTAATTTTTAAACAGTGGAACATCACTGAAGAGTGAAGTAATTTTTAACAGTGGGACACCACTGAGAAATGAGGTAATTTTAAACAGTGGAATATCACTGAGGAGTGAGGTAATTTTTAACAGTGGAATATCACTGAACAGTGAGATAATTTTTAACAGTGGGACATCACCGAGGAGTAAGGTAATTTTTAACAGTAGGACATCACTGAGGAGTGAGGTAATTTTTAACAGTAGGACATCACTGAGGAGTGAGGTAATTTTTAACAGTAGGACATCACTGAGGGAGGTATATTTAACAATAGGACATCACTGAGGAGTGAGGTAATTTTTAACAGTGGGATATCACTGAGGAGTGAGGTAATTTCTAAACTGCAGATGTGCCATGCCTTAAATCAAAGGTCATATCACTGGCAGTAAGTAGAAAAAGTTTAAATTCTCTGATCCATATCTTCATGTTGTCTAAGGGAGGAACATTGAATGTATAGCAGATTGTCTGAGCATGTCTTTAACTTAAATATCATTTGGAAAAATTAAAGGTCATAGAAAGAAAACATTATATCTCCTATATGGGCTCTCTGAAATGAAAAAAAACCATGACCCAATATTTTTTTTTAGTGGGGTATCCCTTTTTATCTTGATCATTCATGTAGTACCTATGTATAATATATATTTTTTATAGAGGTGATTGATGTCTTTTATGTAATATAAAAGTATTAAAACTGTCTTACCTTTCTCTGTTGTAGGACTTGACGAGAGCATTAGTACAGTTCAAACTCCACCTCTTCATCCAGGGATGGACGTTCCTTATTTTCCCCTTTCTGATAAATATTCTGGTATCTTTGATGAAAGATGGACCCTTCGATAAGCTCCTCCTACAAGGGTACATATACAAATTATAAGTAACAATAATAATTCTGTTAATTGGTTGGTCAAAGAAGCATGAAAAGATCATATCACAGCATCCATGAATCTCAAGATTACAAAGTACAGTACAACACACTTATGGCAAAATGCCAGGGATGAGTAATTTTTATTCATTAAAAATGTAATTCGCCATGTCTGTTAAGATTTCAATATTATGAAACCATGAAGGTTGAAAATCACTTCCCTGTAAGCATGAATTCACTGTAAGTGTGTTCACTAGAACTGTTTTACTGTACTGAACTTAAGGGAAAAATAACTCTTGGAAAGAGCATGTACACATGTATTTATCTTTCTGAGTGACAATTTTCATTCAATGTTTTAAGATATGATTTGTGATATTTTTGAACCCTTCAATCATTATAAGTCAAAAGAATATTTGCTATTAAGAAGAGGACATTGTCAAGCACTTTTGAAAGAAATTAGATCTTTTTGTGCTTTGTGTATCAATCATTATTTATATTGCAATGTATGTATTAAGTGAGATTTGATAAATTACTAAATTCAATGATGCTTTTTACACAGTAACACTTTGTAGTTGTATACTTTTTATGCCCCCATAATCGAAGATTCTGGGACATACAGTTTTTGCCCTGTCCGTCCGTCTGTCTAGCTGTCTTTTTGTCTGCAAAAACTTTAATCTTGCCCGTATCTTTTGATTGGTTGGAGCTATGGCTTTCATATTTAAAATGTGTATTCCTTGTGACAAGACCTTTTTTCAGTACCTTTTATTATATATATATATATATATATATATATATATATATATATATATATATATATATATATATATATATATATATATATATATATATATATATATATATATATATTATTTTTCTCCAGACTCTTCAGTGCTTTTAGTACCTTGATTTATTTTAATTCCCAAAATATAGCCTCAAGGCTGTCAGTACTTTGATTTATTTTATTGGTTCTAAGTTGTTAGTATTTTCAGTACATTGATTTTTTTTTATTTGTTCTAAGCTGTTTGTACTTTCAGTACATAGATTTTTTTTTATTAGGTGTAGGCTGTTAGTTTACAGTACTTTGATTTAGACCGTTAATTCTTTAAGTACATTGATTTATTTTCCAGACTGTTGGTTCTAGGATGTATGCCTCCTCCAGTATCATCAGCAGTCATACTAACAAAGGCAGTGTCTGGAAATGAGGTGTTTCTTTAATTCCTCACTGTTAATTATAAAGTCAATAATCATACTGTTTTTACAGTAGCAATAATTACTAGTCTAGTAACTTTGATTGAAGGTCAGATAACACGTTCCTCAATAATATATAATTTTTCCCAAGAATCTGTGATTGATTAGTAGTGCTTCTTTACTAAGTTTCCAAACAAAAAGTTGAGGTACATTACCAGCCATTTGTACAAGACTGAAGGGGGTGGTATTTCCTATATAATCTTTCTGGAAATCACTTGACTTGCTGATATTATGATTTTTGCTTTATATATTTTTTCAGACATTCTGAAAACACTTTAGAAACCAGATATAAGTGATATTAATAAATATTTTTTGTATATTATGCAGAGGTGCAAAAACTGGTATGTTGAAAACATGTCATCAGCCCTTTAAAGTAAATTTGATTAAAATGTTGAAAGCTTTGTAATCTGCAGTCTTCATGGGCAACAATGTAACATAACTAACATTGGGAAAAAATTTGTTTATAAATTAAAATTTACTGCTTATTTAATCTAGTTCATCAATTATACTATGCTGTCTTTAATAAGAAAAAAAAAATTCATGACTAAAAAAAAACGTACCACTTTCAACTTGGACCATTCTGGCCCTCCATGACCATTGGGTACCGGCACTTGACGTTTTTAAAATTTTCTCTTTATTGATAAAATATCCCCATACTATAATAATTATAGAGTGGGGATATTTTTATCAATAAAGAGAAAGGTTTAAAAACGTCAAGTGCCTGTGCCATTGGGCTAGTTTATTAGCAAACTTAATTAAATATTCCCTATGTACTGTACTTTTACGCTTGAAGTTCAAAGATTTATTTAAAAATAAATTTTTGAATATTTTAGGCAGCAGCAATATTTAATTCTGCAGTTGGAAGTTTTGTGGTGAGTGATTTACATAATTGCTTTGTCTAGAACAGCCAGTACACCTTCTTAAACCTCAGAACAAACTTTGTTGTGGGTGTGAATTTCACCATGATCTCATCTTTTTAATTGTCACTTTCATTTCCTAAAAATAATGTACAAGACAGTGAAACACATTGTTTAAATAACATATAATGGTATTTTCAGCAGCTGGAAATTTTTGTGAATTGACCTTTGAAAGATAGCAAATTATCTGTCGATCCACATATCACACTTTGTGTTTAGCTCAATTTAAAAGAGACTGTTCAAGATACATTAACCAAAATTTATACAGTTATACACATTGGTGACAGCTATTCCACTATGGCATATTTTTCTGACCTTGGCCTTCCATGTGACCTAGACCTCACTATTCCCATTTTGCTCAGTTCAAAGTGCATGTATTCATTACAAGATATTTTTGGCCTTCCATGTGACCTAGACCTCACTATTCCCTGACCTAGACTTCACTATTCCCATTTTGCTCAGTTTCAAAGTGCATGTATTCATTACAAGATATTTTTTTTTCAAAACTCATACACTCGATACATATTGATGGGAACTTTTCAACTATTTTATGATTTTTCTGACCTTGACCTTCCCTGTGACCTTAACCTCAATATACTCTATTTCCCTATTTTGTGTTAGGATGAAGCTCATGATGATCAATTTGAAAGTAACTATTAGAGATCTAATACACTGATACAGTTCGATGGGAACCTTTCAACAATGTTTACTGAAGTATTTTCTGATCTTGACCTTCCCTATGACCTTAACCTCACTATTTCTTTTTTATATTTATCTTACTTTCAAATAAACTGTTCATGATATTTTCATCACCCCCCTTAAAAAGATGCTGTAAGATACTGTAAAAGCAGAAATATTCATTGGGGATTAAATTTTGTTTATTTTGTTGTTAACAATTATCAACGAAATCAAATCCCACACAAAATCTTTATATGACTATCTATTGTATAGGGTTACTTTCCAAACAACGAAATTTAATGCCCACAAAACCTTTTTAGATGACAAATCAACGAGAGTTTATCCCTACGAAAATTTGTGCTTCTACAGTATTCAACTGATCATAATTTTCTGATCTTGACCTTCCCTATCACCATTACTTTACTCTTCAAGATATTTTATTCAAACTTTATACACTTACATATTGTTAAAGTCTAATTTTCTGACCTTGACCTTTCTTATGACTTTGACCTTCCAATAACCTTGAACTTCTTTTTTGAAGATTTTTAAAATCAAATTTCATATACTAAGATACATATTGGTGAGAGCAAGACAACTGCATACTTATTTTCTTACCTTGTCACATTTTACTTTTATTTCTGCCCAAAGAAGGTACATCACATTTCATGTTCCAACACAAATGTACCCTTGGGTGAGGCGTCATGTCTTATGGACATAATTCTAGTTATCTTATGTCTTCAAATGATTAATTAAACCAAACAAGCAGTGACAAATAGGCGAACTTGTGCAATGAGTTCACTTTCCTGTCACAGGAAATTTTTCAGAAACACCATGCCTTTAACTAATATTCTTGTTCTATAAAATCAATAAAACATTTGTAAATGAATTGATTGGAGACATGCCTAGGTTAAACGCAGCAGAAGTGGAATAAAAATTTGACACATACCACAAATTATTATCCAATTTGATTCAACATATCCATGGTATTCAAGATAGTGATGTTAGAGATTCCAAAGTTCAACTTGTTGTAAAAATTAATTTTTTAGGTCACCTGAGTCACTCAGGTGACCTATTGCCATCTGTTTTCGTCCGTGAACTTTTGAACATTTTTAACTTCTTCTCTAGAACCGCTCAACCAATTTCAACCAAATTTGGTATAATGCATCTATGGGTGAAGAGGAACAAAAATTGTGAATTTCATGGTCCCTGTCCCCCCGGGGCCTGAGGGGTTGGGCTAAAACCACCAAAAATAATGCAATCTTTAAAAATCTTCTTCTTTACTCCTGGACATCAAGCAGTCAAACTGTTGGCATCATTGTAATAAGCATTGAGCCCTCTACCAAAATTGTGAAATTCATGGCCCCAGGGTCAGAGGTTTTGGCCCCAGGGTGGAGCTATATGGATCATATAGTGAAAGTGCATTATTTCTTTGAAAATCTTCTTCTCTGCTCTTGGGTATTAAATAAAGTTACTAAGTACATAGTTATGATGAGCAAGAGTGCCTCTTCCAAAATTGTGAAATTCATGGCCCCAGAGTCAGGGGTTCTGGTGTTAGGACAGGGCTCTATTGATTATATAGTGAAAATGCATTAATTCTTTGAAAATCTTCTTCTCTGCTTCTGGATATTTAATAAAGTAACAAAGTACATAGTTATGATGAGCAAGAGTACCTCTTCCAAAATTGTGAATTTCATGGCCCCAGGGTCAGGGGTTCTGGTGTTAGGGTGGGGCTCTATTGATTATATAGTGAAAATGCATTGATTCTTTCAAAATCTTCTTCTCTGCTACTGGAGATTATTTAAACAAACTAAGTGCATGATTATGATAGACAAGGATGCCTCTTCCAAAATTTTTAAATATATGGCCTCAGTTTTTGGGGTTCTTGAAGAGGGGGGGGGGGGCTCTATTGATTATATAGTGAAAAAGCATTAATTCTATTAATTAATCATTAATTAATCCTGTCTGCTCCTTAGTGTTGAGCTGATAAATAAATTGCTTAGCTGTGATGAAAATGGGAGCTTCGAACAGAATTTTTAAATCTTGTGGTCCTCGGGTCAGGGGTTCTGGCATAACGAGGGGGGGGGGGGGGGGGGGGGCTTTTGATAATATAGTGGAAAAGTGTTAATTCTTTGAAGTCCATAGTTATGATGATGAGGGTAACTCTTCCAAATTTGTAAATTTCTTGACCCTTGGTCTTGGGTTCTGGTGTTAGGGTAAGGCTTTGTTGAATCTGTAGTGAAAATGCATTGTACCTGTGAAATTCTCTGCTTCTGGGCATATCGGAAGCAAACTGAGTAAAAGTTTAAATGATATGAGTAAGCGTATTTCTACCAGATTTTTAAACATCTGGACCATTCATCTAAGCATTCTGGTCCTGGGCAGGGCTCTATTAATTTGTATTCTACAGAGAGAAGTTATTCCCCTTTTCCATTCACCTTTGATAATTAATCACTGTAAATAATGTATTTGAAAGGTTAATAGAATAAGATAATTATGCAAGAATGTTTATCGTATAATTAAAAAAGTACTTCTTAGTTTTAATAATCAGGTAGACCTGTAAGTAATAGATAAATAACTAGAAATATGTCCATAGGACATGAATGCCCCGCCAAGGGTATATTAGTAATGCAACATTTTAACACAAATTGAGAAAAGTGAGGTCAAGGTCAAAGGAAAGGTCAAGGTCAAAAAATATTGCTGCAGTTGAATAGCTTACATCAGTATGTATCAGCATATGACGTTTGATTCAGAAACTAATTTAAGAAAAGTGAGGTCAAGATCAAAGGAAAGGTCAAGATCAAAAAATGTTGATGTAGTTGAAAAGGTTACATCAGTATGTATTAGCATATGAAGTTTGATGAAAATATTATGAATGGTTTCTTTAAAACTGAGCTAAACACTAATTTAAGAAAAGTGAGGTCAAGGTCAAAGGAAAGGTCAAGGTCAAAAAATATTGATGCAGTTGAATAGCTCTCATCAGTATGTATCAGCAAATGAAGTTTGACACTAATTTAAGAAAAGTGAGGTCAAGGTCAAAGGAAAGGTCAAGGTCAAAAAAGGTTGATGCAGTTGAATAGCTTACATCAGTATGTATTAGCATATGAAGTTTGATGAAAATATTATGAATGGTTTCTTTAAAACTGAGCTAAACACTAATTTAAGAAAAGTGAGGTCAAGGTCAAAGGAAAGGTCAAGGTCAAAAAATATTGATGCAGTTGAATAGCTCTCATCAGTATGTATCAGCATATGAAGTTTGACACTAATTTAAGAAAAGTGAGGTCAAGGTCAAAGGAAAGGTCAAGGTCAAAAAATGTTGATGCAGTTGAATAGCTCTCATCAGTATGTATCAGCATATGAAGTTTGATAACACTTTCTTGAATGGTATCTTTAAAACTGAGCTAAACACTAAATTAAGAAAAGTGAGGTCAAGGTCAAAGGAAAGGTCAAGGTAAAAAATATTGATGCAGTTGAATAGCTCTCATCAGTATGTATCAGCATATGAAGTTTGTTAAAAATATCTTGAATGGTTTCATTAAAACAGAGCTAAACATTAATTTAAGAAAAGTGAGGTCAAGGTCAAAATAAAGGTCAAGGTCAAAAAAATGTTGATGCAATTGAATAGCTTACATCAGTATGTATCAACATATGAAGTTTGATTACACTATCTTGAATGGTATCTTTAAAACTGAGCTAAACACTAATTTAAGAAAAGTGAGGTCAAGGTCAAAGGAAAGGTCAAGGTCAAAAAATGTTGATGCAGTTGCATAGCCCTCATCAATATCTATCAGCATATGAAGTTTGATAAAAATATCTTGGATAGTTTCTTTGAAACTGAGCTTTGAACAGAGCTAAACGCAAAGTGTGATGGAAGGACAGACGGAAGGACGGAAGGACGGAAGACGGACATGACAAACACTATATGCCCCGGCCATATTCATGGCGGGGCATAAAAATGAGACAAAAATATCATATTAAAAGTTCTTCAAAGACCATAAGAGAGGTCAGTGCTAGAGGTCTTAATATGGGTTTTAAAATAGTACAGAAGCACTAATAGTTTGTTAATAGCCTGCTTGGTGATAGTGTTAAGTGGGGGACAGATTAGAACTTAATTTATGAGTTGATACTGAATACTAGACTAATTATTTTGTTGATCCTGATCTTCCTACTTCTCTTGCTTTAGGGCAACAATGCTTCATCTGTCAGTGTATTTAACTTCTAAATTGTTGTATTATACTCAGGTGACCGTTAAGGCCATTGGGCCTCTTGTTGATATTGAAAATCAATGACAGAAGAACTTAATTCAAAAATTGAGAGTACATGTATATAAATAATAAAATAAATGAATTACTCATTTTTATTTGTAGGGAATATTTGTTACACCATCTTTGATACTACTTAATGTAAGTGATCTACTCATATTGAGCTAATTTAAAATTTGTGATAGTGATCAATTTTGAAGACTTTAAATATTCTGTGTTTTAATAATTAACTTTTAACAAGTATAACAATATTCTGTGTTTTCATAAATAACTTTAATGAGTATAATAACAAGAATTGTGATAAGACCTGTTCTTATTACTAATGACCTTGACACATTTTTATACCCCAGGTAGGGTCAGCTGTGGATGTCCCAGTCAGTTCTATTTTTGTACAGCTGTCGCTGACCGTTGTAGTGCCCTTGTTTTGGGGTCAGCTAATCAGGAGACGATACAGGACATGGTTAGAGAGAAATCCAATTCCTTTTGGGAGCATAGGCAGGTACCATGATAAATGATGACATTATCTCAGCCCATTACATCACAATAAAACAATCATCACAGTATGATCAACAAGAGGAAAAAACAATTGGATGACGACCTTTATTTTTATTGACTTTATTTTCTGGACAAGTGATTAGGTTTAAGTTTTCAAAGCAGGTTCATTTTCAAATAAGTAGAATCTTACCTGAGCCAAACTTGCATGGATACCGCATCAAGAGATGCCCAATACCAGACTTGCTTCAGATGCTGCATATGGCCTGTGCTTTCCAGATGAGTATCTATGTTAAAGTTTTTGTAGCAGGTTAATTAAATCCTAGATAATGAAAGGCTGTATGGATCAAACCATCCTCCATAACATGATGCTGCATGACATGTATTTTTTGTTGACTTATGAAAGGTTATAATTATAATGAACTTATATTAATGTAACTAATGGATCTTACTGATCATGCTACTGGTATAAAACTTTGCCTTACTTAAAGATGGTGAGTTTTGTGATCTTTGATTGTCTATGTTTAACACCCTATTTTTTCCCCTGTAGATTGATTTTAAGCTTACCTGAACAAAAGGTTCAAGTGAGCATCTCTGATCACTGTTGTTGGTGGCATTCTGTCAGTTTTTGAGTTTTTGAACCTTTACATTTCCATAATCACTGTACCAATTTCAAACAAACTTGCCACAAAGTATTCATAAATAAATGAGATTAGAATTTACTCATTGAAGGATCATGACTTCTTAAAAGGGGAGATAATCTAAAAAAAATTAAAAATAAGGTGGGTGTCTTCTCAAGAATCACTGGGCCACAAAAGATGAAATTTCCCTGAAAACTTCCTTACACATAGTGTACATTCAGATTGTTGAAATCATGCCTCCAGAGGTGGAGTGTAGTTAAAATAAGGGATGGTGGAGTGTAGTTAAAATAAGGGATTTAAGTTTTACATGGGAATAATTAGGGAAAAAATGATCTTTAAAATTCTTCTTTTCAAGAATAGCATGGCTGTTATTAGTCATATTGATATGCAATATCTTCAGGCAGCAGCATCTTCAGGTAGCATAGATTCAAGTTTGTTCAAGTCATGCCCTCCTGGAGATAGCTGAGTAGGATCTCAATGGGGGAAAGTATATATGGCAAAATATTTTATCACATAAGACAAAACCAGTTCCATTTGGGCTAAAAGTGGTCTTAATCTTAGATGCTCATGATACTCAAGTGACCATCATGGCCCATGGGCCTCTTCTTTCAAATTCTGAACTCTGCAGTGAGGGAGGGGCTAATATCAGGAATCAGATGACACATAATGCAGGTATAGGAGAAAAAAATCTGTGAAGATTCTTTTTTTTTTTTTAATTTTTGGTGCCCTTCTTTTACTGACTAGATAATTTGGTTTCATTACTTCATACTTTACTAACTTATATTTTGATTACAGTGTAATACTTTTGCTGATCATCTACACCACATTTTGTGATACCTTTTCACATGCGGAGATTAACCTGGATTTCCTCAGTCTTATTTCCATTGTCTTCCTTAGTAAGTACATCTCTCTGTAAAAAAGGATATCAGCAATAAAAAATATAATATGTCAGGATAAACTAATAATTGTTTTAGTTAATTTTTAAAACAATTGTAATAATATGCTTAAATAGTTTCATATAAAATTTGCTTTTGTATCTGCCTGTAACATGAGTAGATTACAGCCCTTTCTTAGCCTCTCCACTGTTTCTTTTGCTGTTATGGTTCCTCGACCCTCTGATAAGAGAGATAACTCCAACTGGAATAAATGACAATTAAATTGTTAAGTTTAATTAAAGGCTATTTCTGTCAAATTTTGCCCTGCAAGGTATATGCTGAAATGGTCTGCATTTTCATGTGTTTTGGTGGTGGTGGTGGTGGTGGGGGGGGGGGGGAGGGGGGGAGTTCCGCCAAGGATTTTCAGAGTTTTTACATCTCAATGCAAAGTAATGTAAAGTAACAAAAAAAATGACCTTGGAGCCCCATTTCCCCTCTTAGGAAACACAGATGCCTTGTAAAGTGGTAAGCAGGGTTATGTGAAGGAAAGAAAATTTATTTAAGAAAGTTTCTTGTTGTCTCATGCATTGTGATTTTTGCATTTTATGATTTAAAAGATGAATTTGCCAGCTTTTGCATTCCTACATGTAGTACACATTGTTTCAGTTGTTATCCTTCAATGTGGATTGCTATGGATGGTGTTCTATGTCACTACACGTCCTTGGCTGAACTTTGAACCCACAGATACCACCGCCCTCATGTTCTGTAGTACTCACAAGTCACTCACTCTAGGTCAGATATTTGTCTAAATCAATATCAGTGTTATAACTCATATATATGTTAAACATTATAGCATCTTTGCATGAATTTAATAGTTTAATTTTAGGGAATTTAATTAAACAACATATTTATACTCCTTTAAACCAAGTGGGGGGGGGGGGGGGGGGGGGGGGAGGGGTTCTGGAATCACCCTGTCTGTCTTACTGTCTTTCTGTAGACATTATTTCTTTATTTCTTTGGAGATATTATATAAATATTAAATAGTGCATATGTTTGAGGGTAACAGTTGAAATTGACACCCCAAGGAAAACCATTGTCAACCAACGTGTCAGCAGAGGTTGACTATGGTTTTCAGAGGGGTGTCAATTTCAACTGTTACCCTCAAAAACATGATTAGAACTATTTATTTTATTATACTGAATGCCTTACTGATTTAGGATGTGAGCAAGAAAAAATTCGGAGATGGTCATTAAGTTCATCTTCTTTTTTTCTCAATAAGAAAGCTTCGAAAAATATTTAATGACCTCTTTATCGTTTAATTGATACTCAGAGAGTCCTTTATCATCTAAAGTTTTGTTATTTCTGCACTCTGGAACATTTTTTGTCTGTCGTTTGTTGTTTTCAATCAAGCTACAATGGACGCAAGGTTTGATAGATGTCAAGTTTATTTGGCTTCTACTCATGTTTTGAGAATTCTATGGCGAACTGTACGCGCATAATTTACACACATGTGACATTCCTTGTGTTACTCGTCAAATATGTTGCTAATGCTGAGGGTAACATTACAAATTGTTAAATGCATCTAAACCAATCAAATTTTAGTATTTTACATGAAAGTATAATAACAGAAATTATTCCAATTTTTTTTTTCAAAAATTGTAGAATCAATAAATACCGTTTGAACTTGTGCATCTGGTATTTTTGGATAAATTTGCCAAAATTTTAAAACTTACTTATTTTAGATTTCATTGTACATAACTTCTTTGACAGGAACAAGAGGAATGAAATTCTTGTCTTGACATAACACCTTTGAATCTCATGCCTTACACAAAGGTAGTTTTGTGTCTAGACATGTGCCGTGACCCCGTATCAAGGTCATTTTGTACAAGTTCACAGGGCACAAAAGTACCTGGTATTGAATCATTGTTGCCCCAACTTGGAAATGGAGAAATATAGAAACTTATACTTGAGATAAAGGTTACTTGTGATTGAAAGTTACATGTATGTTCTGACCCTAATCATAATTTGGAAAAGGTCAAGTCAATGGGTTTTAGAGATATAAAATTGTTGCCTTGGCCATTACTTTGATTTTGAGAAAGGTTGTTTGTGACCAGAGGATGTGTACTAACAAATTTGCACTATGGTTATTGGACAAAGTCAAGGTCACAAGGAAAATTCTTTTCACCAACATAATTTTTTTAGAGAACTAACTTCATGCCCCAATGTTTGTTTATGAACATGTGTTCTGACATGACCCTGATCAAAGGTCATTTTAGTCAAGCTCAATGAGTTACAGATGTATCAAATTTTGAAGATCTCAAAAATGCAAATTTCTAAAAGAAATAACTTTTTATTGTAACAGTATCAGGGGACCATACATGACACACAGGTGATTGTGACCAAGAAGTATGTCATGATACTATGAAGGTCATTGATATTGCATAAGTATTTTTAAGTAAGCATCTCTCAGGGGTATTAGTCCTCTTAGGACAGTTCTAGTTTGAAATAGCAAGAGTACGGCTTTGATTAAATCAAATAAATCCTAAAAGTTGTTTAATGTGTTAATTAATTCTGAAGTTATTACTGTTTCATAAATTTCTGTAAGGATGTCATATTCCTTAAAAATTGAATGTAAAATTTACAGCTGTTTATATCAATAAGAGTAGATTTTAATAAGTTACCATACTGGTACATTACTACCCTAACAGATAAATACTGTAATTCACTTTTTATTTGTGAGATATATCGAACTTTATTTTCACGTAATTATGCGAGTCTCTTTATTGGTGAAATACCAAAAAACTAACTTGCGAAAATAAGGTGTTGCAAAAATATCATGATCTACAGTATGAACAATGACATATTTGTTATAACGAAGTCTAACTAACAGGTATTCCCATTATAAAAATTGTGTTCAGTGGAGATCCAGGCTTGTCTGTGATCACTATCCCCCTATTGGTGTACCATCCTACACAGATCCTACTGGGGGGCTTGTTGGTGCCACCCCTCAAAGAGTGGATGTATTCTGCCAGAAGAAACAGGTCAGTAAAACTACCCCGATTAACAATCATTTTCTGTAAAACTGTCCTAAACATGAAGGAATTTTAAATCAGATTACCAAATGGAAATCAATGCTTATGGAATAGCAATAAATTCTCTTCATCTTACAAGAAACATTTAAACATTTTTTTAATTCATTGAATAAGAAACGATCAAGAAATGTATGTAAATGGAGATGAATGGATTGAAAATTTTGCCATCCTTGTGACATCCATTAGCACTTTCCAGTAAGGTGTGACCCTAATTCTTGAAATCCTTCTTTTCAGGTACATGATGGCAAAGCATGTGTAGAATAACCAGGAAGAGTTCTTCATTTAGCAAGAACATTCAGATATTGTAGTCTTTACTGTACACACACATATCTTTTTACTTGGACAGTTTTGATTTTTAATTATCATTTTTTCTATCAGTTTATACTCACTAACTGATACTGAGGAAATCCAGACTACAAAGAATTCATTATTATGGAACATTATGGAATGTGAAAGACTTCAATTCAGAGTGGTAAGGCCAGAGTTTTTTTATTTTCTGTTTAACGGGAATTTTTAAGAAAAAGTCGGGTCGAGGGGACGAAATAAAATAAAAATAAAAAGTTCAAAATTTGTCGAGTCGAGACCATATAAAAAATAAAACCCAAAAATGCTATGGATCTTTTTTTTTTATAGAATGTTGAAAAATGAAAGAAAACACAATAAAATTTTGTTTATCATTTATTTGGCTTTCAAATATGGATAAAAAGATACAACTCCTAACTATATGCATGTGTCATCCTACTGTGGTTAATTACATTTGTAAATTCTAGTATGAAAGCAAAACAATAAAATTTACAGTTTAAATTATTATATAGCAACAATAATGTTGGATACAGAAAAATCCACACTGCTTAAAAATTTATAGATGTCTTCGTTTGGTCATCTCCTACTGTATAAAATTTATAAAAGTAATGATAAAAAATGTTTTAAGCTACATATATTATGATTAAACAGAAGTTTGGAGAAAGATATGGGGTTGATAGCTAACTTGACAATGCATTCCTAGTATAGGACTAACACATTCTTGAGGTTCAGAATGGAAATTTGTCAGCTGAAATTATTTGACGAACAACAGCAGTCATCTTGGAAGTCTTCTGAACTCTTCACAAATGGTTGGGTCTCCACCAAGAAATCAAACTGCACAAAAAATGCATTGTTCCTTTAAGATACTTTATTAATATAACCAAATACATGTAGTAGTTAGAAAGTAGAAGATAAAAAACAGTATTTACATGAGATTATTTTCTTTTCTAAATGAAGATACAAAACATTTTTTAAGAGTTTTTGATAATAACACATTTCTTATATTATAAATATAATAATTTTGGTCTTTGTTCAATTTGCATTTAAAATATTAAATTGGACAATTTGTTGACTTAATTCTTTCTATCTCTACCTTTCCACAGGATAATGTGTGCAATTCCAATTAGGTGTGCAATTCCAATTAGCTGTCACTTGTCAGTGTTAGTTTTAAATATTCTTTTCCAATCGTAATTTTGTTGGAATCCTGACCTCATTTAATTCAACCAAGCAGACATGGACTTGTATCTAAAATATTTTAATCGTAATTTTATGTCCCTGATATAATTAAACATAATTCATTGTAAAACTAAATTTTACCACAAATTTTACCTCAATTTGTTATGTGATCAAATTAAATATACAATGTAAACATCTTTAAAAGAAACAAAAAACGTATCAAAAAATGTTAACCATCGAACAATTTTAACAGAAAGTTTATCAAGACGTCAAAAAACTTACCCCCAACTCTTTAGACACAAGATGGTTCAGTGTGCATCTAGTGTATTTAGGTTGTTGATGCCTTCATTCCGATTTCAGAATCTTTTTTCTCTTTATCGTCAATGGATTTAATATTACTATCTCGTCATTTTTATCTATAAATGTCTCGAAATGGCATTTTTGCTTGTTGATCTGTTGATAGAACCCACGAAAAGTGTGATAAACTAGTTCTTTAAACTGGTTACGATATCATAATCAGCAAGACACTCATACATGTACAAGAATTTGATTTAAAACGTAAGCTATGTCAAACGTTTACATGATTTATTAAAATTATGGTGTACAACAAACCCGATTTTATTTCAAACCGTCAATAAATGACACAGTCGGCGGGTATTTTAAAAATAAAAGTGAGATGGACCTCTTTTATTTTTTTTCGGTATTTTGAAAAAATTGGGTCGGCGCTTCCCGTTAAACAGAGCGGCGCTTCCCGTTAAACAGAGAAATAAAAAAACTCTAGCCTAATCTAAAGCTCACCAAACATACATGTATAACTAGTGTAATGAGCTTTTCATTTGTCATATATGTGTATCCTCCTTGCTAAACTGCAATTGTAGGGCCCAGATAATAAGTGTTTCCTGTAAACTCCTGTGTTCTATAAATTCACATTAATAGTGCCATGTAAAAAGCTGTCACCTCAAAGCATGACAAAACAAGAGATCCTTAAAACTGCCAGAATATAAAGTACACATAAAATTGATGAGTTTGTTGGGGCCAGTTTTAGTTGGTCTGCAAATTAGAAATGTGTTTTAATTTGTATATACATATAATATAACAAACAGTCAAATCTTGTTACTGAGAACTTGATGGGGCCCAAGAAAAAAGTTCTAGGCATCCAATAATTTGAGATATGCAATAAAAGGGTAGTCTAGGCTTCAATGAGACTTCAACATACATGGTATTTGAGATACTGGTGTTCAGGATAAAGAGGTTCAACTGTATAAAAGAATACTAAAATAAAAATTGTTTTAATGAAATTTATCAGATTTTGTAATTTATAATACAAGTACTTTGAAGACACATGACTAATATACACATATTCTTGCTAACTGTTTGCTAAATCCACTTCCTTTAAAGACATGCCTCCAAAAACACTTCAAACATGAACTGCAATTTAGGCCAATTAAGGAGGCTCTAAACAAAGCTCAATGAAGAGTTCAAATAACTGGCACTTTATGCAGTTAGAGTGATCTGCCCTTTGATGAACAATGGAATAAGTGGAAATCTACAGTAAATTACATGATTTGAAGTAGATTTTTGTATTCTTAACATTATATTAGACCAAGATAAAGTAATTAAAAAACATTATTTGCTTGTATTTTCCCAAAGAAAGTAGACAACAGTGATTTCTGTTCACTTGTGAACATTTTTCCTGGAGAAATATGAGAAATGAAGGAGATAAACTCAACATGAACACATTTATATGATATAATTTTCTCAAAGTCAAAAAATCTTTTTGCATTAGTGTTTAGAGCTACCTTAAATAAAGAGGTGGAAAAAGAACAGCTTTCAGATACTGTACATTACACTTACCTGCTTTTACACATCTTCACAACTGCAGCTCTGTCCTGTAAGAACAACGAAATAATTCACAGAAAGAAAACAACAATCATTTATCACATTTATCATAATTTATATTTGTAAAATCAAGCATACAACTGTACATGAATATGGTTAAATTGAATTTGAACTTGATCAATAATAAATATGCTTAATGTTCTGGGCATGTATACAATGCATTTGAGCACTGTCAGGACAAACAACATATCAACCTTTATGAAATGATATGATAAAGAAAAGATAAAGAAATTAAAAGAAATGAATTTTAAGAGTCATTACTGGGGCTTTTTAGATGTGCTAGAGAGAGCACATCTGACTAATATCACACTGCCAGAATACTGAATTTTTGACTATGAAGAATATGTACCTTCCAAGCAAAGCAATCATATGGCCCAAGTTCATTGAGTCATGGATTAATATTCCTGTAGTGGGAAAAGTCAACATGTGAGCTGACTACATAGATGTATGTTCAAAAAACAAAACTAGAGTAGATGAATTTCACATTCTTAAAGAGTTATCTCCCATGGTCAGCATAACTTCTGTAAATGTGAAAGTCATCTATTGACTCACCTGCCTTATGTATTACAACATTTATTACTTCATGAAGTGTCACTGTGACCAAAAACAGAATCACACACAACACTTTATGAAGATACATGTATAACATTTTACTTCTGTCTACACAGCATGAAGGCAAATGTAAAATGCATGTACATGATGAACGTTTCTTGTCAGATGTAAAATAGGCATCTTTTCGAAGAATTTTGTGGTGGTTTTTAACCACATCTTTTGTTTCGATTTATTCTCAATATTTTGTAACATTGCATCATATTTCTTAACATTTTTTTCTTGTCTTTTTTTCTCATTTTTTTTTCTTCTGTACTGATTTTTTTTTCTGTTCATTTCTTTTGATGTACAATTTCTTCACAATAGATCTCACACTTTTGTCAAACATTAAAATCAATTTTACATTAAAATTCCTTAATTAAAAATATGTTTACATATTTTTTACATTTCCCTCAGATACAATGCACAAACTACTGTAAATCTCATCAAATCAAAATAATGTACACAAGAGTTATTAATTCATGTACCTATATATGTAATACATTATTAAATGACAAAAACTAATCTTTAATATGAACAAAAATCAGAATAAGTAAAAATATTCATAAGCATAAAATGTCTGTGTGGCTTCACAGTATTGACCATCATACAAATAATTCTTACAGCAGCTGAACTTAATGGATACATTGACAAACTGATTGGAGAACAGACCATTTTAAAATAGGCTCGTTAATGACTAGATATCAATTAAACATGATAAAATGTTAACAGATGGCATTAATGTAGCTGAATGTAACATGACACAACAGTGCTTTAGATGTAATTCCGATTAAGATGATATTCCATCATCGTCACCTCCTCCATGACCGACTCTCCTCATCTTCCTCCTCATCCTCATCTCCCGCCAGAAGAGCTTCCTCATCTAAATCATCCTCAACATGGCCCTGCAAAACCAAGAGCCAATTATATCTCTCAACCCTCAATAGTTCATCTAGATCATCCTCAACATGGCCCTGCAAAACCAAGAGCCAATTATATCTCTCAACCCTCCATAGTTCATCTAGATCATCCTCAACATGGCCCTGTAAAACCAAGAGCCAATTATATCTCTTAACCCTCAACAGTTAATCTAGATCATCCTCAACATGGCCCTGTAAAACCAATAGCCAATTATATCTCTTAACCCTCAACAGTTAATCTAGATCATCCTCAACATGGCCCTGTAAAACCAAGAGCCAATTATATCTCTCAACCCTCAATAGTTCATCTAGATCATCCTCAACATGGCCCTGCAAAACCAAGAGCCAATTATATCTCTTAACCCTCAATAGTTAATCTAGATCATCCTCAACATGGCCCTGTAAAACCAATAGCCAATTATATCTCTTAACCCTCAACAGTTAATCTAGATCATCCTCAACATGGCCCTGTAAAACCAATAGCCAATTATATCTCTTAACCCTCAACAGTTAATCTAGATCATCCTCAACATAGCCCTGTAAAAGTCAACCAATAGCCAATCATATTTATTAACCCTCAATAGTTTATCAAAATCATAAAAAAATAATTTGAGGATGCTTCCATACTAATATGACTAATCATGCCTTGGCTGTTCTTAAGAAGATTTTAAATATTTTTGTCTATATGTTCCTATGTAAAAATTTGATCGTTCGTTGTTCCTCCACTCCAACCCAAGAGTCATGATTTGAACAAATTTGAATCTACATGTACACGATGGAATGCAGGGCTCGACATTAACGCTTGTCCCCGCTTGTCTGGTACCAGTGAAAAAAAAAATATGGACAAGTGAATATTGCTGGGCACTTGTTCGATTGGACATGTGCATTTTTTTGTAAAGAAGTCTCTAAATATTTTAAAGAACAACTGTTGAAAGTTTACAGGTACTTTAAGATGGAAACAGTACGTAAAAACCGAACTTCGATCCCGATATAGATCGCTATGTAATTGAGTACACTCGATCGGGATCAAAGTTCACTAATTGCATACTACTGCAAAGGCATGGAACTGACGAAGTTTGGATTCTGTTTTATGTTGACAGCATTTATGTTGTCAGGACAGAAAGATAAAATTTTGTTTTATGTGTTTGTTGTATTTATAAATAACATCATGCACATTTAATGGACTTTATTTTTAGTTTTTCAGTTAACAGTATTAGATCTTTATTGAAAATGTTTTGGACAAGTGAAGTTGAAGTTTGGCCAAGTAAATGTTTTGGTCACTTGTCCGAATGGACAAGTAGGAAAAAAAGTTAATGTCGAGCCCTGGAATGAAGCTTAAACATAAGCTTCAACTCTTCTGGCCCACTGGTTCTTGAAGGTTAAAGATTTTTTTCTGTAATTATATTCTTATGTAAAACTTTGATTGCCCAATGTGACCCCACCCCAAACTTGTCGAAATTTTGAAATCACTGTCAGACATTTGGTTTGACAAAGTCAAATGTTCTGTCGGACCAGACGAAGTTTTGTCAGACCAGATACATGTACCTTATTTTGACGCCGAGAAAGGAAAATAAATAACAGCACCAAAATGCCCTTTAACATTTTCAACAGCCTTCAATCTCATAAGTTTCTTTTCTTAGGATAGAGAGTCTTTAATAAGAGACATAAATAACATATTTTATGTCTTTCCTGTAACAATTTAAATTGACAATTGTCACTACGCCGCGCACACGGCCATCTCTTCTGTGTTTGTGACCTTCAGTTGAGCATCCCAATCCCGACCTTTTTTAAATTTGTGTCACAATCAATTTTTTTCAAATGGTCACTTGGACTGACGTTTTCTTAAAAGTTATCAGTCTAGACAAATTTTTACCGGCCTTGCCGACAGGACCGATGGATTTTGACAAGTCTGCCACCCTACCCCCAGGGGTCATGACTTGAACAAATTTACATCTACACTATATAAGCTTTCACATAAGTTTTATCTTTTCTGGCTCAGTGGTTCTTGAGAGGCAGATTTTTGAAAGATGCCATTTAATTTTATTAATTTTTCATTTTCTCCCTTAGAAAAAGGGGGTGACCCTACATCTGAATTAACTTGAATCCCTTTCATCCAAGAATGCTTTGTGGCAAGTTTGGTTGAAATTAGCCAAGCAGTTTTGGAGAATAAGATGAATATGTGAAAAGTGTACAACAGCAACACAAACAGACAACAGACAAATTTTGATCAGAAAAGCTCGCAGCCTTTGGTGCAGGTGAGCTAAAAATTTCCTTGTTTATTACACAATTTGATTACAAACACCTTGTACTGCACTTTCATATATCTTGTGACTTTATAATATTGTACAAAATATTATACAATAAAACATTATATTATGAAGAAATAAACTTGAGAATCCAAAAAAAACAAAAACAAAAAAAAGACGATCTCAAACTGACCTCCCCTTCAACCTCTGCAGTTTCCTCGTCCTGATAGTTATTATCAGCAAATTGTCCAGGCTTTATCTTTGCTCCTGTGTGCCAATTCATGATCAGATTTTTGCCCATGTACATAACACAATGCAGCAGTGCCTACATAAGAAACACATGTACATCACCACTGCTATTATTTAGATGTAGCTGGAGAACGTTTGCAAAAAGATTTATACACCTTGTTCCATATAAAACAAAATAATTGTTGTGTCAAAGGAAGAAACTTAACAATGTATAAGAATTCCTCAAAAAGTGTTCTAAGATTATTCAAAAAAAAAAAAAAAAATAGAGCAATCTAATCTGAATATTTGAAGATCTACAATTCTTAGCATCTGTTAAAATTGTTTTAATACCTTTTCTGCTTCTGCTCTGGTGTGAAATGTAACAACAGCACTCTTATCTTCTTCCTCAAAATCTATTTTCTCCACATGACAAAACTTCTGTGAAAATTAAACATTCGTCATTCAACAAGATTTTCCCTGTGTAGTCCATGCAACTTAAAAATTATTCAGTTTCATTCACAATAATAAAAGATCTAAATAATCATGAAACACTTTTTACAGTGAGAAAATGTATTTCAATATGAGTTTGCAGACTGGCAATGCTTTTTCTCTGACAAACTACTTAAATGTATATTCAACTGTGCTATGTAATTCATTTATTATGAAACCTACACGTATCTCTAGAAAAAGTCCCTTACATGGGATCAAAGTAATGCAGATGATGTTAATTTGCAGCAATTTACAGATACTAGGATATGAAATATTCTAAGAAACATGTTTTCTTAATATTTCAATCTCATTTAAATAGCTAAACTATCAAACTTGTAATTGATCTAACTACTTCTGTTAACATACATGTACAGAGAAGTGCTGACTGAGCTGTTAACATACAGAGAAGTGCTTGTTGAGCTGTTAACATACAGATAATTGCTATTTGAGCTGTTAACATACAGATAAGTGCTGACTGAGCTGTTAACATACAAAGAAGTGCTGTTTGAGCTGTTAACATACAGAGAAGAGCTGATTGAGCTGTTAACATACAGAGAAGAGCTGATTGTGCTGTTAACATACAGAGAAGTGCTGGTTGAGCTGTTAACATACAGGTAAGTGCTGGTTTAGCTATTAACATACAGAGAAGTACTGGTTTAGCTGTTAACATACAGAGAAGTGTTGGTTGAGCTGTTCTCGTTCCTCCCAGTTGAATCCCGTCACCTCCAGCTGTTTGGGTCGTTTATCTAACTTCCTGCTTCCCTGTGTGGGAATGTGGTGTGTGGGTTTACCCCGGCCTTGTAACCCAGCTGCTACCCAGGTGTTGGCTCCCCGGGGTCGGGGTGCTGCACGTCCCCGCCCTCTCCCTCTACCAAGCAACCCCATGGCTGCAGCCTACAACAGAGAACCCATCCTTTATCAAACACTCTAATCATTCATCCATTTCTAAAGGGGACCACCATAATTAATATACAGGTAACTCTCGATACCTCGAAGTCCGCAGGAACGAGGAAAAACTTCGAGAGATCAAGAGTTCAAGTTTTCAAGAGTCCGGAATTTTCCGCAGGAACGAGGAAAAACTTCGAGAGATCAAGAGTTCAAGTTTTCAAGAGTCCGGAATTTTCCGGGTTTGTTGACAGGTTTTAAAATTAGTCTTACCAGATGTAATGATTTTCATGCAGTGCTAACCTTTTACACATGGTTTTTATAAAACAATGATATTTTTTTGTAATTTAGATGAGTATTTCATTAAACTGAGTAAAGCAAAAGATGTATATCATCATTTCAGGTATATTTATTTATTCTTTGCAATACGGACATCATACTATGCATTCGTTATAGGAAAACAACATTTTACAGCACCGTACATAGCATTGACTATTCCAAACATGATCAATGAATGCAGTTCTGTAAGTATCTGTCTAATAATAGTCGTCATATTGACATTGAGACTGTTTCTGCTTTTTCATATTTCATTTAACTCTGACTATGACTCGAAATAAAAATTAAATTAGTGTTTCGTCTTTTAATCAATTACTACTTTTCACCGACACTGCATCTCTAAATTATCGTAAGACAGCCGATGATAATTATTTAATAGCATATAGGCAAAACATGATTAATTATAAATCAATTATCACCTTGCAGCAGAAGTGTCACCTGAATAAACATCTCATTCCTCGAGACCTGCGTCTTCTGCCTGGGGCCATTTAAATGTGCAGGTAAAGGTGCTAATTATATAACCTTGTATACACATAGCCACTTCGAGGTACCAAGGGTAAATTCTAATAGAATATGCATAGCGGGACTGCATTTTGACTTCGAGGGATCAAGGGTTTCGAGAGATCAAGAGTTCGAGAAATCAAGAATAAATTTGTTTAGTTATATAGGGGAAAAATTTGGGACCAGAGACTCACTTCGAGCGATCAAGAACTTCGAGAGATCGAAGTTCGAGCCATCAAGAGTTAGCTGTACCTAACAATAAATGTACGCTAGGTCTTCACTGCATACATTTTATATAGTTTTTATTTTAAATAATACTTCTAAGGCCAAAACTGTATTAAGATGAAAATTTTGTAGAGACCTGTTTAGTGAGTTCAGACAGTTTCTGTTTTAGGGCAGTTGTGTCCTCTCCTGAATGCTCCTTGTTAAACAACTCCAGCTCAGTATCCAGAATCTCCTTTCTAGCCTGAAATACATGCATGCAGAGAGAATTAATGTCAAGTCATGGACAGGAATAACAACAAAATCAATATTAGATTACAAACATTAAGTAACTTTACCTCTTCGGGTGTCGTCACATTCTTGGCCACACCTTTTGGTTTGTTAGCCGTTAACTCTGACTTAATTTTCTCCACAGATTTTGATAACATGTCAATTGTCTACAAATTATAATTCAAAGTCATTATTTCTATCCATGCTAAAATGCAATATTCACTAATGCAAGTTTTCAACAACAAAAATAGATAATAATCAAAATGCAAGAGACATTAGCTAACAGATGAGGGTACACAGAATGCATAGTGAGCAATCAAACTTAATTTTTAATCCCTATCTACATGAATTTACAATTATTTCATATGTGTAAATAAATAACATAGTAGTCACATGCTGGAATGTCTTTGCTTTTCCACTAGTAGTTTGATTTTTATGTGTTTATTTATTTAATCATTTGTTGGTTGATTTATTGAAGATTTTATTTGAATGTACGAAAGGACTGGAATAAATTTTTCAATACCTTCATAATTTCTGCTTTTTCCTCAGCATTTTTTGTTTTCTCTAATTTAGAAATAAGCATCTGCAAAAGAGGTCAAAGAACTAAATGATAGAATTAATAAGGTCACTTATATATATGTACATGTTAAAACAATTTATTTAGCAAACTACTGTACGTAGTTTTTTTTTTACTTTCTATTTTTTCTTTCCACAACCTGAGGTAAAAAAAAATTCTGATTTGTCAGATCAAGAAATTTCCAATGGCATTTATGATAAACCCTTATTAAGTGTACAACATTATTCAAGACTAGAAATAGAAAAAAACTTGAAAATAATTTCAAAACTTAGGGATTAAATAACAGACAGGGATTGGACTCTGACCTTCTGTTGCTCCACCTGCTTTACCAACAGCTCATGCTTCTGTTTCTGAAGCTCCGCCTTCTTTTTCATCATTTCCTTCTTTTTCTCCTCCTGTCTTTTAATGGCCTCGATTTTGGAGACAAAGGACGCTGACCCCACAGCTGTAGGACTTGTGATAGCAGCTTTAGCTTTAATGACCTCTGGGTTGTAGACAGTCTTTGTTATGTTACCAACAGAAGAAGTGTATATCACAGTCTACAAACAAATCAAAACAGCTCTACCAAAAGGAAGATAACTTTTTTTTTACTGCAAAATTTTTCAAAACATTTTCATTATACATGTAAGTCTTTGCTTTGGAGGAAATTTCATTTGTATATGTAGTTCGTGAATAATTTTGATCTTTTTTAATTGTACCACCATAAAGGGTGTACAGACCTTCTCCTTGGATGGAGGAGCTGGTGGGGCAGACTGCTCTGTTGTTTTAGGTTTGGTGTTGTTAAGGGAAAGTTTACTAGGATGAGGGATAATGGGTGGACCTAGTCTTTCCTTAATAGATCTTTGATCAGGAACCTGATCACCAGATATATCTATTTTCTCCTGAAGTAAAAAAAAACCCATAAAATTAAAATTAAATAAAACCAATATGAATTGAAAGAGAATTTAGATAGATTAGCTGTGAATTGGATTCTAACTTGAGTGTTCTCTTTATTTTTATGCCAGAAGACTTTGACAAATCTGTTGTTGAAGAGAGGTTCTGTGCTTCTGTAGCAGGCTAGAGCCTCCTGATTGGTGGAAAATGTCACCAGGGCTGCTTCAGGGTCATTCTCAAAATTAACCTAAAAAAAGATTATTTTTTATGTAGCTAAATCATTGCATAAATATTTAACCAACAAAATATAATGTAATATGTAATAAATTACATATTTCAAATACTTCAAAATGAAACCAGGAATTCACTAGCTTCTGATGTCAGTAGGTGTTAATTTCTACTACCGGTATCTGCTTCAGCAAAACAGAGATCAAGGTAAGTATTTTCATTGGACATCAAAATAAAACAACCATCACCATCCTTTTTCCTTATTTACTGTTTGGGTATAGATGTTGGTAAAACCTCAGACATGATGTAACATACAATTTTTTAGGGATACAGATTTCAGCCAGCCACATTGCAGACATGCATCCACTTCTTAATAAACCAAACTGTTGGATTCTGAATGCTATAAAATTTACAAAATTCGTAAAATTTACTCTTTCTTCCAAAGTTTCTCTTGAAATTGTAGCCATACCTGTATGTTTGTTAGGTTCCCAAATTTACAGAAATGCTGATTTATTGCTGCAATGTTGTTGAATTCCTTAGGAATTTTTCTAACTTCCAGACTTAGGGCATCAGTGTCAGGCTTTCTGTATCCTGGATCATCATTTAAAAACAATCAGACATAAAACTCCTGTTAATTAATTACTTTATGTTTGCCCATCCATGAATATATTTACACTGTATCAGAATTTCATGTAATTTGGTAGGCATTTTAACTAATTTCATGATAATAAAAAAAGTCTGGTTGGAAAAAGTGTGCACTACTTAAGATACATGTAAATGCATTTTTGATTGACCAATACCTCCTACTCTGCTGAAATCAAATGGTTTCTTGGGAGCGGAGGGTCTGTAGTTATTCTGATGGTAGGGGTTTAGGTAACCTCGATGGACTTGACCTGGACCACTATTATAGGGTCGCTTTGGGGGAATGACTGTCCTCCCAGGCTTTCCCTCTGTCCTGGAGTCAATCAATGTGTTCTCTGGTCCTGGTTCAGTTGATTCTGTACCAGGAGGTACAATAGCATTCTCCTCTGAAATAAAAAGAATCAAATTTACATACAAATGTACATGTATTATGTTCATGCATTTCTGGAAAATGTTCTTTTTAAAATCAAATATCAGACAAATCATTTCTAAAAAAGAATTTCTTTTTTAAAACAATCATCATAAATAAATGTAAACAGCTGTAGTTTTATACGCTATCTCTTTGATAGTCCAAATGTTTTTCTACATAACATATTTCTACATATAAACATATTTGTCAGAATTGAAGTGCAAGTTTACTTTCATTTATCATTGTTTTCAACTTACCACTGTCATCATTCACTGTTATATTAATGAGATGCTCTCTATTTCTGACTTGAACAGAAGGGTTCTGTGGGGGAGGAAAAGGAGGGAAATTGGCAGCTGGTTGAGCTCCCTGGGGTCGGGGTGGGGGTGGTCCATGCCAGAATGATTGTCTAGGAGGACCGGTCATCCCAGGAGCCTCAGGGTTGTACTCAAAGTGATCTAAATACAGAAAAGGTATGATAAAAAGAAACACCATGAAAATATTTTAAATGTACAGTTGTGTATAATGAAAAATGGATAAACACTTGCAATAACGTCAGGGTTCCTAGATGTCTTCCCATTTTATAAACTCTTTTAATTTACCTGGACGTGGAGGCATAGGTAGGGGGCCTCCAAGAGTTGGGGGTGGTGGTCTATTTACAAATCCTGGCCCTGGCATTCTTGGAGCACCATTAGAAGGAATTACCGGAGGTCCTAACAATCAAATGAAACAGTGGTTACAATTTAAAACAACTGTGGACTTTTTCACTCTTCTGATAAATTTTTATAAATCTAAAATTCTGTTGTTACCTGGGACATACGGCGGAGGAGGAATGCTGACATCTTCTACAATGACTGGATCCAGGCCATGATCAAACGGGCATAGGTCACCTCTCATACAAAATCCCTTTTCTGAATAGAAAATAAACATCAGTATACTCATAAGAAAACAGAAAATATAAAGGACAGTTTGTTTTGTAAATCCTCTAAAAAATGTTCATTTCTATTCTTCATCTCAAATTTCTAAATTCAGTAAACAATATCCTGTTCAAATATGCATACCATCATAGTCTTTACATCTCTGTCTTGAGGGGGCAGGTACAGCTGGCAGTCCCTGGGAATGGGACTCTGAGGGGTACCCTCCTTCTACTCTGGGGACAGAGTATACAGCACTTCCTACTGTAGGAATGGTAGAGGTCGTGTCATACTTCCCATTATCAAGGGTAGGTGTAGAACCTCGACTATCAGGCTGCTGTTTGTTGTATACTGAAAACATTAATACTCAGTTTAAGGTCAAGATCTAGTAAATGAAAGGAGCCTACAGATTTTCTCAAATTTGAGAAATAAATTCCTTTAAAGATGCTTTTTAAGTATAGCTTGGTCAAATAATGGGTATCGGGGCATATTTTGTAGGTAAACAGGATGAAAAATCATATTTTAAACCGTCTTTTCTGATGAAAAATTAATAAAATCAGTCATGAATATGGGAGTTTTTTCTTTATTGGAGAAAGGAAATGTATCCAGATTGCCTACAGTCTCTCAGAAAATGGTAATTTGTTTCTTCTTATCCTCTTCTTTAAATTAATATCAAATTGAATATAGGTTTCGGGATTAATTTTCACATGATTTCAAATTGAATTCTATGAAAAAACTTTATTGCCTACATTATTCTATTAGAGCCGTAAAGTACGGGAAAAAGAAAGTTTAAACTGATTATGATGTCATAATGGATCTAGCACCAAAAAGACAGTCTAAAGTCATTTACTAGATCTTGACCTTAAATGACAGATTTTCTTAATTATTTTTTTTTTTGGGGGGGGGGGGGGGGGGGGGATTGCATATCAATATTAGTTATTGTTTATGAGTTATTTTTTATTGTACAAAAGTTCCAAACTATTAAATCTGTAATTTCATATATCAGGTAAGGGACTCAATACGCAATTTTCGAGATTGTATCTCTCCTATGATAGAGGTGCAAAAAGTATCCATATCAGCATAGAAGTGGGACAGGTTGTTAATATATACAAACATGCATAATTAAATGAACGATGGCTATGGCTTTTACAATTCATTTAATGTTTTAGAAAGATAATAATACTAAGCAATGATCATTTTGATGGTTTTATAAAGCTCTACATATTAATACAAAATTTGCTTTCAATTAGGATACTTAAAGGAAAGAACCGTCATATTCTTTGTAAGAAAAATAATTCTTTGATTGTACAAACCTTTTCTAAAAAGTTATTGGGTTCTTTGAAGTTATTATATGGGAAAGAGTCATTCAGAATGCCGACGTACAATGATCAGATGCGTGTGTATTTATTAGAGATCCATATCTCTTCCCTCCGATAAGTTATTATCCCCTGTAATTTATTTTGTTCCGATTTTTATTTTCTTTTGTTCCAATTTTTTGCTCATAGAAAAAAAAAATTGATGCCTTTACTTTAATTCGGTAATTTTTGAGTTGAAGAGTGCATCCCGACAATCAGTTGTGATGGTATATGGATGATGTAATGTATCCAATATATAAATAACTGTCCCATCTGCCTGCTTACGCGGAAACAAAACTCCCCTCCGTAACAAAATAGCGTACCAAGGGAGATAATCTCGAAACTTGCGTATTGGCCCTTAACCGTGTACTTCAATAGATTTACATGGGATGTAAATTTAAATTAATTTAATGATAATATAATAAACAAAAAATTAATTTGGTAAACAAAACAAACAAACAAAACAATCCCTTCCCCCTATAAATTTACTGTTTTTAAATTCTAGTACCTCTTCTTTCTCTTGATCGTGATCTTGACCTAGATTTACTCCATGACCTAGGTCTTGATCTGGATCTTGACCTTGACCTACTCCATGACCTTGACCGTCCTCTGTCACGGGGACTTCTGGACCTTCCCCGTGTCCTTCGAGGACTTCTTGGACTGTATGAACGTGATCTTCTTCTGTAACTTCTTCTCTCATCAGACAGCCTTCTATCATCATGTCTTCTCTTTCTGTCATCACTACAAATAATAAGTCAGGATGTAGAAAGGAATTCAATTCAAACAGTTCTAGGCATGACAACAAGCTGCTGCGTGGGAGTGAAAACTGAAACAAGGGGCCCATAAGCCAAAGTCAGATGTCATGAGATCTCACAAATAATCATTTTGTTCTTTGGGGTCATGACTTGAACAAACTGGTATTGCACAGCAAGGGGATGCTTGCAGAGCAGTGAGAGCACAATGACTTGATTTCATCCTTGCCATTCAGTAGAATAGTATTTTTTACAGATTTTTTTTTTATTTGAAACCCTGGATCATTCTATCTTTTTTTTTTCATTACTGTTCTAATAATTTTCTTACTGTTCTGTAAAGATATATTTAAGAGAATTTTCCTACACATTTTTATATGAAAATTTAAACTACATTGTGGCCCGCTTTGGAGTGGGCGAGTGGGATGGAAGTGGGGGGATGACTTGAACATCAATGAACTTTGCATTTGCACTTCACTGGAATACTTGATTTGGAATCTTGAAGCTGTGTTACATACATGTAAGGAAGATCTCAAGTAAGTTTTCTCTTTTCTGGACTTTAAGGTTTTTGAGATGAACATTTTTAAATGACAAACCCTTTTTTCTTTATTCTTCTCCATATTATCTCCCCATAGGTAAAGGGGGGGGGGAGGGGGAGGAGGGTGAAAAAGTGAAAATTTATGCCATACATGCATGTACACATGTATAAAGAGTACATAAATATACATGTTCAAACTCAAGATAAATTTTTGATCAGAAATCTCTGGTTCAGGTAAACTAAAAATCAGAGGTAAAAAGATCGTCGTCGCAAGCCACGGGTTTTGTGTCCATTCTATTTCCACAAATCTGTGGCTGTCTCCTACAAATTTCTCTCTTTCTCATGAATATTAATAACATATATTCAACCAATGGAATAACATCTGATGCTTCAAGTCAGAACCAATGAAAATGATAAGTCTATCTTGTATTTGGATGTAACAATAACCACAAGCTGTACATCAACTTCGGTTCGAATTTCCTTTCTTAACGAGTAACGCTATTCAGCGTTCTCACACAACATCTACATTGAAAAACCCTATATTTTAATGTAAAACCTTGTAAGTATTTTAGAATATACGTTACTCACCTCTGTTCTTCAGGATCTATCGTATTTTTTTCAATAAATCTGCCACACATAGCAAACATGATTTCATTATGGGCGTCGCCATTTAAGCGTACCAAAAATTGCTACAGAGTGATTTCATTGGTCAAGGTAAATATAGCCACTAACCAAAAGGTTAGGGGTCGTACGCTATGTAAATTTAAGATATAACTTTATTTCCCTTAAGTTATAATATCTGTTGATGTCAAAGTTAAATAATTGATTCAGTATTAAGGTCTACCAGATGGCTTGGCTAATATCACATTGTTATTAATCCCTTTGAAGTATAATTAGTTAATCTCTCAAGTCAATTAAGTTGCCTAATTATCTATTCTTAAGGCATGACAGGTGTGACAACAATTATCACTCTACCTGTCCATGTCAACTACTCATTCATTGAAAAGCCAAATTGAGTAAATAAAATAATTACTAGATTTACTCTAAAACAAAATATATATTGAGAAAAGAATAGTAGTTTAGAGAGTAGAGAGAGGACAGTTAGTCAGAGTTAGTGATAGAGAGAGTTAGCTTGAGTTACCTGGCATGCAGCTAGCAGACCCAGTCTTAGATGTGTATATATAATGTACATATTCCTGTACTAAAGACTGGAAAAGACATTTCTACTTATGTCTTAATCCTTGAAGGTTTTATGTCAAGGACAGTAACCAAGTCTTATGGTTACTGCGTGACCAAGTGTTGTAGGGTGCACTACTTATTCCGGGTGGAACCCTACCCTCCCCGAGCGGCAGTCACATAAATCTGGCGTCACTTAATTAATATTCAATGATTCAGTCGCAAGAACGAGAGAATTTGGTAGGAGGCAGCCACGGGTTTGTGGAAATAGAATGGACACAAAACCCGTGGCTTGCGACGATGTAAAAAGATATGTGTGTTAATTGGTGTATCTTTATAAATAATCAACAAATAACAAAGCATACAACTTTCAATGACAATAACAACTAGAAATATGTCCATAGGACATGAATGCCCCGCCGAGGGTATATTAGTAATGCAACATTTTAACACAAATTGAGAAAAGTGAGGTCAAGGTCAAAGGAAAGGTCTTGGTGAAAAAATGTTGATGCAGTTGAATAGCTTACATCAGTATGTATCAGCATATGAAGTTTGACACTAATTTAAGAAAAGTGAGGTCAAGGTCAAAGGAAAGGTCAAGGTCAAAAAATGTTGATGCAGTTTAAAAGGTTACATCAGTATGTATTAGCATATGAAGTTTGATAAAAATATTGTGAATGGTTTCTTTAAAACTGAGCTAAACACTAATTTAAGAAAAGTGAGGTCAAGGTCCAAAGAAAGGTCAAGGTCAAAAAATGTTGATGCAGTTGAATAGCTCTCATCAGTATGTATCAGCATATAAAGTTTGATAACACTATCTTGAATGGTATCTTTAAAACTGAGCTAAAACTTATTTCAGAAAAGTGAGGTCAAGGTCAAAGGAAAGGTCAAGGTAAAAAATATTGATGCAGTTGAATAGCTCTCATCATTATGTATCAGCATATGAAGTTTGTTAAAAATATCTTGAATGCTTTCATTAAAACTGAGCTAAACACTAATTTAAGAAAAGTGAGGTCAAGGTCAAAAGAAAGGTCAAGGTCAAAAAACGTTGATGCAGTTGAATAGCTTACATCAGTATGTATCAACAAATGAAGTTTGATTACATTATCTTGAATGGTATCTTTAAAACTGAGCTAAACACTAATTTAAGAAAAGTGAGGTCAAGGTCAAAAGAAAGGTCAAGGTCAAAAAATGTTGATGCAGTTGCATAGCTCTCATCAATATCTATCAGCATATGAAGTTTGATAAAAATATCTTGAATGGTATCTTTGAAACTGAGCTTTGAACAGAGCTAAACGCAAAGTGTGACGGAAGGACGGAAGACGGACATGACAAACACTATATGCCCCGGCCATATTCATGGCGGGGCATAAAAATACAATTTAATTACTACCTCAAAACTAACAAAAAATTAAACAGCCTGGCACCACTTACATATCCCTGCGTCTCTCTCTGGGACTGAGACTCCTTGATCCATGTCTTCTGTCTTCTCTCTTCACTTCTCTGCCCTTCTCAATAGTGATCTGTACCAGAAACAATTCAGATACATGTGATTAACAAAACCAACAGCAGCTGTGATATATTTAATCTAAAACATTTACAAGAATTCATAACAATGGATAGAAGTCACTAAGGCAGTTCATTGTACCAGTATACAGTATATATGCTTAATTCTTTATAAGACCGAATGAAAAAGAAAAAAGTTGACATTGTACTGAAAGAGAGACTCTAAATGTCAAAATCTGAAGAAATAAGGCTTACTTTAGTCTTCTTAGAATCTCCTGAATCCTTCCTGCTGTCAGATTTACTCGGGAGGGACACGTCTGACTTGGTGTCATCGACAGCTGGTGTCTTGGTCGAGGAATCAGGCGCATGTTTCAAGTATTCTTTTGATGTCAATGCCTCAAACAATGCATCCACAAAATCTTTAGTTTCTATAACAACAGTTACATGAGAAACCATTGTGAAATAATTTCCGACAGAGCATGCTTTATCAAATGACTTGTATTTACAAAACACACTTCTCTTTTATTTAAACTGTTGAAAAATATTAGATTCTTTACATCTTAAAATAAGCTATGTTTTAAAGAACAGTTGTATATAATTTCATTAAATAAAATCACTTGGAAAATAATAGTAGAGGAGTAAAGTTCTTCTTTTATTAATATAAATGGTCACAAATCCATCAAAATGAACAATTACATGTGCATCCACTTAGGTTAATTCTTAAGATCTGGATGATGTAAGTGTAAATTATCTGGATGATAAAAGCCTAAATTATCTGGATGATTATATATATTAAGCCTAAATGATCTGGATGACATGAGCCTCAATGTGAATGATTGTCAATTTACAAATAAGCTCAAACATTGCTAGTTGACTGGCATGTACCTATCATCAGGAAAGAGAAATTATTCGCACTTCACTACTTCAACATATCAGACATTTTCAGACTTACTTCCTTGAAGAAAAACTTCCAGCTGATCAATGCAGACTTCCCTTAGGTCTCTGTCTACTTTGTCTTTTTTAACTAAGGCCAAAACATATTTGGCAAGAGAGGCAGGATCTGCATCACTTCTACAAAACAAAGATTCACCATTCATTTACTACATCAGTTTATATCAGTGTCAAAGGGTAAGAGATCAATTGTAACTGGCTGGGGGGGGGGGGGGGGGGGTATGTAAAAATCTCTGTTGACCTTACAACAATTATTTTCTAAGTTGTGGATTTCTGATTGGCATTTTTATCAACTTAAGTGGTCAATTTGGCTGATAGCTGGTTTTTGGGGAAAACACTGTATATGCTAAGTTGTTTTGAATCATAAACATGATAAAGAAGCCTGAAAAATTACAAATTCTCTCCAAAATCAAATCCTTACAAAACGAGCATGTAAACAATTTTCTATACACCATCATAATTCATAAATATTATTGGAGTACTAGAAGAAGTAGAAGAGTTGCATCTATTAGACACTTTCTGCTATTCTCCTATTAGGCACTTTCTGCTATTCTCCTATTGGGCACTTTCTGCTATTCTCCTATTAGACACTTTCTGCTATTCTCCTATTAGACACTTTCTGCTATTCTCCTATTAGACACTTTCTGCTATTCTCCTATTAGACGCTTTCTGCTCTATTCTCATAAGCACCCATTGACTGGTGTTTCATCAATCATTGCTGAAAAAAACTTATTCAGAAAGATGCATATTGAAGATGCCGAATGATCATAGTGCCAGGGACAGATGAATTTGCCTCATTATAAATGTTATTTGTTGCATCCAATAAACATGATAAATTCACAACAGCGACTGGGAAACTACTCTGCTGTAAACATCAATTCATTATAAGCTTGTTTGCTATAAGCGTTTTTTACTGTATTTTCTTATATGACTGCAGTATTTTCCCCAGAAAATTTTTAACAAATGGGGGTATTATGTTGAATCAAAAATACAGATGCGGCGTGGCACAGCACACCTCAGTTGAGTTACTTGTCAATGAATTTATATTTCATAAAAATTCTAGATGTATTTTTAACTTAATTTTTATATCAAAATGTGCAAATAAAAATTGATGATTATACATGTACTGAAAATCAAATCAAACATTTCTAAGGATTTTTTTTATTGTGCAAAAATTATCCTTAATATCACCCATGTTTTTTCAAGGTATTTTCCCCCCTTCAGACCCACTGTAGTTGTATTTTATGTGCAGTGTTATCCATGCTGTCAAGATCTACAAATTTAATAGTGGCTTTCCCCTGTCTTTTATTAACTTCAATTTTCTTGAAGTCCCTACATTTACAGTCATCATTTTAAGCAAAAGTGTGTGCACATTATCAAGCACCTGTGATTATAACAAAAATATGACAACATATTAACAAGATTTTGAAGTGGACAGGTGTTCATTTTTTTTCTTGCAAAAAAATGTTGATTTACAGATAGCTGTAATAGCACATGTATGCTCTTGCCGTCTTGGTAAAAGAATTTATCGACAAATCACACAGTAGATAAACGAATGGACATGCTCATTTCATATGTCAAATTTATTTTAAACTGGCTTTATATGCTAAAAGATGGCTAAAAAATCATGTGTTAAACTAATAAATTATTTTTAATGTCAAATGTTTATGATATTTTTACAACATCCTGTGGTGGTTGGAAAACCCACATGTGCATTAACAAGTGTATTACTTTGACTGTGTGTACTATCCAACAGAGACTGATTACTTTTTCACAGTTATAAATGTTTTTGTCACCTGAAAACTGAGTATGTACCAGTAAATTGTAATAAGCTGTAAAGCATAAATTTATTAACAGCTATTGCTTCATACCCCGTGCCGCGATTCACCACAGGTGTTCAGAGTTTTTGAAATAAAAAAAAAATATTCACTGGTCAAGTTGACCCGTGATTTAGAAAAATTCACTGGTCCACACAAATATTCACTGGTCCATCAGCATACATACTGAGATACTAAAAAAAAAAAATCAACTAGAACTGTCCAAAAGGGACAAATACCCCCTGCTGGGTTTTTCAGAGAAGGTACCAAATCACTAATGTTTTCTAGATGTGAGAGGTGTTCACAATTTGCTTAAACATTTACAGTGAAAATTTAATTACTCATTATATTTTTTTTAATGAATGAAACTAAGGTGCAGCCTAATAAAACATCAATACTAGTCACATGCTAGTAATTACAGTGTTTTTTATTACATTGAAAAAATAGTTTGCAACTATATGTCATCTTTGTGAGACATGACACTCTGCAAATTGATTGTTGAAAAAAAAAAATTTCATAATTAATTATACAAAATCAAATTGATCTTAATACCTTTGTATCAAACTCATTTTAAAAATAAAAGGCTGGTTCCAGTAACTATGTATTTTGACAGACATAAATTACAATTAAGAGACTTAGACAACTGAGATCTTTATTTCTTTCTGCCCAATTCCCAGGAGATATAGATAAGACCTGCTTGATCAGAGATGCCCTAACAGCTTCCCACACTGAACTCATTAATTAATCTTTAACTGGATGCATGTCCACTTATTACTCCCAAGGGACAAATGGATTTACACTATCTGCTGTGTAATGTAAAAACTGTTTTTAATACTCCGTGATTTTTTTTTTACTTCTAATGAGTAGTTTTAAGCTGTAGTTCACATTTTTGTACAGATGTTCTAGATTCTATGTCTAAAACCTTAGACATGAACCCGAAATGACTAAGTCAATAAAAATGAAAAAAAAAAACACCTGTAAAATGCAGAAAAATTATCAAATAATGTTGAAAATACCAGGTGCACATCTTCATATGGTAAACAATAAGTGTACAAATTCTCGAACAAATCTATGCAATAGTCTCTGGGAACAGATCTGGACAAAACCACATAATAAAAATGAAAAAAAAACCACCTGTAAAATGCAAAAAAATTATCCAATCACGATGAAAATACCAGGTGCACACCTTCATATGGCAAAGAATAAGTGTACAAATTTTCAGACAAATCCTTGCAACAGTTTCCAAGAAATGGTCCGGACAAAATCTCGTCTACAGACAGACGGACAGACAGACGGACAAGCTGATTCCAATATACGTCCCCTAAACTTCGTTTGCGGGGGGGTATAAAAACCCGAGAAATTGTTTTAATTTCAGTTAGGAATTAACCAGGTGTGATATTTACTGTAGACACCCGACATGGCTGTCTAGAGCAGAAAACGAACTTCTGAATGCTGTGGAGGAAATGCTTGATGTAACAATTTTGATTACTCTTTATATTTAAAGTAAAGGATGATTATGTTATAACCCAAATAAAGCTATGGTTAAAATTTTTGTATAAATTGAATCAGCTGATTGAACAAACAGATTTGGCAGAAAAAAATCACCTGGGGGTAATTTGAATGGGTCTGATTTTCTTTTACCGAATTTATTAGGCAATGGCGCTGCCATTTTGTGAAAAACTAACTATCTTAAAAGCACTTGAGTTTATTCTATCATACACGCAGATTCAATCATTTTGACGATCTCACAAATAAACTTAACATCCACAGGTCAAGAGGTTGAAATACCAGAAAGGACATTTTTTTACCGGTCGTCGACCGAGTACATGAAGAAAATTACTGGACTTTTGAAATATTTACCGGTGGAACCAGTGGATTTCAAAAACTCTGGGTGTTAAACGTGTTATACGAGATTCTAGTTATTTAAATTGTCTATGAACTAATTTATAACTGACAGTATTAACTGATTAAGATCTTATACGGTTCATGATTTATGCACAGCGGAAAGCATAGTAGCAATGTTTGATGCAATGGGGATCGCCATGCAAAAGTGGCCTGGGGAAAACAATCGACTGTGTCATATCTGGACTTCTTCATTTAATCAGGTGTCAAAATGTTTTTCTGCTATAAACTCTACAGAGTTTTGAGAAGACTAAAATCTAATCACAAGTACTGCTAGATTTCATATTTAATCTAGTCACCCTGTTTTGCTAAATATTCAGTGATCCATTTTGAAAATGGTTATCATGGGTCAAAAGGACCCCTTTCAATGACAACAATGCGTCCCATGCCGAAATCAATGTGTTCAAATCCAAGGGTACCATATTATATATTAGATATTACAAAGGAAATTCTGGTGAAATATGAAAGGTCATTGCATGAAAGTGTTTTATTGTAGCTGTGAGTGGTTTATACTATTACTATCAACTGTAAGTAATAATACATGATTTTGTGGCATGAACAACTGTGCACATTGGTTCTATTTTTACAATCTCACACATTGTATCAAACATAAAATGCACAGAAACAGACCGGGCCATCCTTAAAAAATTGTTTTTTTGCGGTAACGCGACCGACTCATCAAAATCCACCCGACTCAAATTTTTTTTAACCCTATCGAAAGTATGTTTTTTTTTTTAACCAGCGTATCTACCTTCCGTTTTATCCGACCATTTTTTCCTGATGAATTATAGAGACGCTTGATTTCCTCAATCTGCAACTATTACAAACATTTTGACGATCACGACACACCTGTGTTTAAAAATGGCGACGACAAGTCCGCGGGAAACACATCTAGATTATTGTCATTGACACGTGTGTCTACTATGAAGCTAGAGGGAATCTGGGTCAAAAAAGTCGCCTAAGGCTTAAAACTTTGCCAGCTTTTCAAGAGAAATAGATTGAGATTTTAGTCATCATACATTTTTTATCACTAAACACGTCAGAATCGCCATTGAGGTGAAAAGCAGGGTTCGACATTCACGCTCGTCACCTCGTCATTTCCATCCCGGGATGATTTTTGACGACCTGATTTTCAGTCTGGCTCGCCCAAATGACGACCTGGGACGAGTTGGGAATATTAAATAATGATGTTTAATATTTTAAAATAAACTTTACAAGGCCTTGAAAACATTGTTTCCTGTAACCCGACCGACCCATTCAAATAGCAGCCTCGTGGATTTTTCTTTCTGCCAAATCCGTGTTTGATCAATCAGCTGATATAATTTTTACCAAAAGTATTAAATTAAGTTTTATTTGACATATAAAATATGTAAACCTAGTCAACAATCACCATAAATATAAAGAGTAATGATCATTATTGTAACATCTAGCATTTCCCCCAACAACTTTCTGATGTTCGTTTTTGCTGCTAGACAGCCATGTTGGGTGTCCACTGTAAACATCACACCAGGTTAATTCAGTCCAGGGATGTTTGACCCCATTTTTTTTTTAGGCCTTTATGATAAGTGAAAATGAATGTTTTAAACTAGAAACTTTATCTTGTGTCAATATGTGAGGTAAGATTATACATTAGCAAAAAAAAAAAAAAAAAAAAAAAAAAAATCCCGACCTACCCAACCCTTGATTTATTGGGAATATTACAGGAAACAAACATATTTTTTAAAGCCTAATTAGCATTCTGATTTTGCTTATTAATATTTGTTGCTTGTTTTCTTTGTTTGATAAAATACTGGAAGACAGCTTTTGACATTCCATAAATGTCTGGTTTACATTTTATAATACAAAAGCACAACTTCTGTTATCTTAGCAAATTTTAAACAATTGCACATTTTTGTTTCATTTGATATTTTGTTCGGGCGACCTGAAATTCATTCGGGCAACCTGAAATCAGTACCAAGGTTGCCCAAATGGCGAGACCAAATTTTGACGAGTGTCGAACCCTGGAAAAGTGTTTTATTTTCTATCAGATGTAGTTTTTCACTGCCACAGTTCTCAAAATCATAGTTGGAATCAACATGGGGTCGTATTTTCCAGCTATAAACGTAAATAATGCAATTACATTCGGTAAATGACCACAGATGTTATGTACTCAGTACTGGATACGTAATTTTCTTGTCATTTAACTCTTCAACTTCAAGACCTATATATACATACATGTACGTATTACGTAAATGCCATACTGAACAGTTCTAGTAATGGATCAGGATAAAAATTAATGTTCAAAGGTAAAACAAAAAATCTCTTACATTTTAAAGTGTTTTTTAATTGTCCGAAACACAAAGATTTGTTGCCATTATAAAGTATTACTTTCTTTTATTTGTGTTAATTTGAGAAAAAAAATCAAAAGGAAGCAAAAGAAAATCCACTCTACTAAATGAATTTTAAAAATCAGTCATATATTGTTCAAAACCTTTTATTAAAAAAATTCTTTGATATGCAGCACATTTATATAATTATATTTTTTTTGAATAGGAATTTTATTACATATTTTATATCAATTCACATTAAAAACGGTTTTTAAAAGTATGTCAAATACTGAATCGACGAAAAATGTAGAGAGAGAAAGAGAGTAGAAGCCATGAAATATTAGATGCAGCAGGATGAATTGAAGAATGTAAATACACCTTAGTGGTTGCAGAAATTATAAAATTTAATTTTAAAAACTCATGATTTGAGCTGATTAGATCAATATTAAAACAAATTAGACATGAGGTTAAGGTGGACTCCTGATGGTTGCAGAGACAGGTCCTATTAAGCACTTAAATGATGTGCTTTAAAACCGACAAAATTTTCTTGGATACTTCCATACAGTATGCCAGCAATTGTCCAAATGATTCAGTAAGAATATGTGATTCTTATACGTTTAAGAAATCTGGGTGCATCAGATGCTGGTGTTAAAATTACAACACCTAATATTAAATCATTCCTGACATTCATCTACCAAAAAAAAAAAATATATATATATACCTACCTACCTACTCACATCTAAAATGATGAGTAGCGTTACCACAAAAAAACAATTTTTTTAAGGATGGCCCCAGCTGTTCCATTGAATAAAGTAAAGTTTTTTTAAAAAAAAAAATGAAAAATAGCCAGAAAGAAGAATGATCAAATACTTATTTAAAACTTCTAAGGAAAAATTAAAATATACAGGTTACATCTAAAATAAAAATGTGTATATAGTATACACTTCAGAAATGTTATCGAACTATGCTATCTGACTTTAAAATATTTTCCGATAATTCGAAAGGTATTTACATGTATAGTCTCAAAAAGGTTTTTTTATGATTAATTTGACTGTTATTTATAATGCAACTTCATTAATTTTCTCCAAAATCGTTCCGGAGTGATTTTGCAATTTTCTGCTACATTACAGGTAAATGGGAGGCATTCTAACTGTGGTTAGCGCCTGTCCCGAGACACAGTTTGATTATTCAAACTAAATATTACTATCAAATTTTAATCTAATCTACTGCACAAATTGAATACTTCATGAACAGATTAACTTTTCTCCTTTACATTCATCTTAGAATTGAATTTCCTAAAATTTGTGTGTGCATAAATGGACACATTTGCCAGATGCCCTGGACTTACACACTGACTTGTATCCAGTGGAAATGTCCTAATTTTATCCCAGATTCCTGCCTCGGTCCCCATTTAAGAAAGCTGAATGTCTTCGAATCACATTTTTAAGGTTGAAATTAAAAATTTTGTGCTGCAAAATTATCTATAAAAGGGATTTTAAAATAATGAATATAAATAAATAATTTAGCTAAGTAAATATAAAAAAAATAGTAAATGCTACAAGTGTACATTTTACTCATCTAGGTAATCCGAGATTCCTCTGACTCTAACCCCTGCTTTTATATTTTGACATGCGCAAAGAAATTGAATGGTGGGGAGGCGACCTAATTCAAGTGATGCTTCATTTGTCGGTGATAGGGCCGTTTAAATGGCGATAGCATCGTATTAGTGATGATTAAGTTGTAGAAGAATAATCCCTTTACTAAGTTCTGGCGTCTCGGAAGTTAGCTCCGCGAAATAAAGTTGTAAAAGGTAGGCAGAATCGCGACACCAGCTGGTGTCGCTGAATTCCCACTTTTCAATATGACCTCCGCTCTGACTCTACCCTGCACATGTCAAAATATAAAAGCTGGGGTTAGAGTCAGAGGAATCTCGGATTATCATCTAGACAGAGATGTTCACAATATCAAAATATAGATTAACATTCTATCGTTAAAATGATATTTTCCTATGGACTCAGTGGAGAGGGCTTGTCACAGATTATTTTAAAACATAAAGCGGGATGGGGTTTTCGCTAGATGACCCTGCTATTGAGGAACTTTGTCTTAGTTTGGACATAATGGTAATGAGAAAATTCGAGCTACATCCGTTTCTATTCCTTAAGGCTTTATTTCCGATAGCATTTTCATACCAAACAATAATTTATGATTATAAACAAAAGTAATATTTCTATCTAACTGCTTGTGCATCACATATATTACATATTCTACTTGCATCAACTTCTTGAGCCAGCCAGTAAACTTACATTGGGGAAAGAGTCTTTGTCAGCCATATTTTTAGAGCTTCAACGTTTTCTATAAGCATTCCGTCAAAATACTTTGATTCACAATATGAGTATTAGACAACTGTAACTAAAAGTCTGTCTCCTTCCAGGCTAGTTATACATATATCCGTCTGATTATTCAGCATTGACGGGACTCGACACTCGTGCCACTTTCGTTTAAAATAAATATGGCGTTCCAAATCTCGTGAAATGCCGCGGGACTGGAGTCTACTGTCAAGAAAACAGAAGGTAGAGATTGATAATCGTCTACATAAGCATGTGCCCAAATCATTAGATTTGAATTTTGAAGGTTCCAAATAATGTACAAGCCGATGAATATACTAATTAACGCATGGTTGGTGGCGGATCGATCAAAGGCGGATCCAGCGCCACCCATACCTCCCCCCCCCCACCGTTTTATTTAGACCTGATACCCCCAACGCATCCTCGCAAGCCAGGGGTCCTGAATCAACACGTTGCCGTTGGACCAACGGCAACGTGTTGACTCAGGACCCCTGGCTTGCGAGGATGCCCCCAACGTTACATATATTATTTTATATTAGTTATGTTTTACATACATCTTCTAAAATAATTATCAAAAAGTATTAATTATTTCGAAACATTTTAAATTATACTAGTTTAAAAATGCGACAAATGCAGTTTGCAAATGCGACACCATTTCTCTTATATGTAAACCATGCTTATTCGCGTATTTAAAAAAAACAAAACAAAACAAAAAACTTCATTCCTCTTATTCCTAGAAATTCAAAGAAGTTATGTACAGTAAAATCTACAATTAGTCATCAAAGTCATATATATATATATATATATATATATATATATATATATATATATATATATATATATATATATATATATATATATATATATATAATTTTGACAAAAATATCAGATTCTTTTTGAGTTGGTAGTTCCATCTTTAATCTCGGTTTTTCCAACTTTAAAGTTGGTAATTCCATCTTAAGATTGGCTTTTCCAACTTGTTACGACTACTTGCGTTTTATTTGTATACTTTAGTTTATAGCTTAAGGTAGAACCTATGTCGTAAAAGTCTTTGTCACAAGATTTTCAAACTTTTCAAAATGATAAAGAACCACGCACGCTAACTCTCGATTCCCGCCTGCATTTTGCACCCATTTCATTCCATATAAATGGCAGTTTAGCCATTAAAACTTGATTGAATGCAAAGAAGAGTTCATTATTGATTAATTAATAATTTTAAAACAGTGTCAAAAACTTGACTGCTCTTATTTACGACTCTTTTTAAACAGTTAAAAGGGGGTTGAACATTTTATCTAATGAAATCAGGCTTTAAAATCGCTAGATTTTCAAAAACGCATTGAAATGGATAAATGACCCTTAAAATCTTTCCGTATGTTTAACTTATGTAAAATTCAACATAAGAGATTTATATAAAAAAAAACTTATTTGTAATCTCATTTGAAATTGGTATTAAAAATTTAAAAAGACTAAGTTTGCAGTTTTTTTTTGTCTGTAAACATATGCCCCTCCCCCCCCCCCCCCCCCCCCCCCGTGAAACAACAAAAGCTTTGGTAGGAATTTGTGAAATAAAAATTCATAAAACCCATAAAAAGGAATTTTTGTTTCACGGGGGGGGGGGGGGGGATGTTTTAAAAATATTTTCCGTTTTCCGTTGATTTCTATAGTGAAAAACGCTATTTCTACCCAAATTAAAGAGTTATCTCTCTTTGTTTTCCCAAATAAGGCCAAAATAAAAAATAATCTTGTTTCCCCTAACGCGACCGCCCCAATTAAATCCCGCCGACTGAAAAGTTTTTTTAAGAAGATTATTTAATTTTTTTTTAATGTTTATCAACTTTTATAAAATACAATTTCATGAAAACCCGTTCTTATCAGAAATTCAGAATGTATTTTCAAAGCTGCTGTCAGAAAAAAAAAATATTTACCTACCTACCTACCCAACTTCAAATTTTAGGGTCGGGTCAGGGGAAACAAAGATATTTTTAATGATGGCCTAAGTTATGTTTTACGAAAATTCACATAAATATTTATATAAATATGAAAAATCATTCAGATATGTTAACTTTTGAAATTGACTTGAAGGTAGGCGGCAGAACAATACTTTAGCACTCGCTTATCAATCAGTTAAAAATATATGGTATGTTTCCTTGTTATTAAATGTAGTGCAGCCTGTGCAACTTGGAATGATAATTTTACACTGCGACTACATATTTTCAGCCATTTTTAGGGGTACTGGTCATAAAGAGAATATAGAAAATCACAACAATACCTCTTCAAACATCGTCGTTTATAGACTTAATAACTGAACCGTATTAAGCAATATTATTCAAGAATAAATTCTGTTTTATTCAATTGACATAAAAGATTAAGTTCAAAATTTCAACGAATATAGGCAAATCGTATTCAGCATGTGGTCTCTCTCTCAGTTTCTATCTCTTTTGGAAAGGGGGGCACTAAATTCAGAAATGCTTTTTTTATTGGGACAGGTCAGTCAAATTCCATACCGTTTTCCAGTTACCAACTTTTGAAAAGTGGGAGGAATCAAAAAGTGTGCAAGTTTTATTGTTTTAATCAACATTATTCCTTATAAATTTACATACCTACATTCATGCAGATCGTAAAAACCATGGCTTTAAAACAGGTTACTTTACACACGCTCACACACTTTAAATTTAAACATATTTTATTTATTTATTTTCATATGGCTAATTTATCCCATCAGATTTTCTGGTAATATCTGATTCCTTTACAGGTTCGTGAGCGTGACGTCACAGAAGCTTGAGACTTGCACACTAAGGGTGCGTTCCTTTCACGCTTCCGAAAGTCCAGAACGCGTAGAATTGCAATGGAACGATTTGGAATCCGATTCCGGACGGATTCTCTCTGTCATTTCTAAAGAGGTGGTGCAGCGGGAATTATTACGTAACAAAAATGGCGGAGAAAAACGTGCTTTATCAATGTGAAGACTGCAATTTGTACTTTTCCAGCATAGATGATGTTAAAATGCATAGATGCATAACGGAATCAAGTGAGTTTTGTTACTGTGTATACGTTTTACTGCAAATGCTTATTTAAAAACTTAAATTTATAGGGATATTTAGTGCGCACCTTATTAGCCATCATAAAGGCCCAAGATGGGTCAAGAAAATCTTAGATTTTTAAAGGGAAAGTGGGGGGGGGGGTACAAACCTAAAAAATGACATATTTACGAGGAAAAAAGTGTATTAAAAAGGACAAGTAAAAATTGTAATAGTAGGGAAAGGGGTCGATCACAGTGGCGATCTTTTTTCGAATCTCCTCGTCTTTTTTGAAAGCATATCCAAATGGTATTAACTAAATGAAGGTTTACCTTTTAGCACCCCTCCCCCTTTTTAATTCTGCCATTTATATCTTTTGCAATTGAGTTTTATAATTTGCAATGCAGCAGTATGTACTTTGAAATTAATGTATACTATTAGTATAAAAGATATTTTTTCTCATTTAGGCGGAGAAAATAATTCCATTCTTGTGACAAAACAAACAGCACATGAAATTAATGCCGAAAGTCAAATGAAAAAACGCACGGTAACCCAGTGCCACAAGTGCAGCATATACTTCAACGACATGGAGTTGATGTCTGAGCACATATGTCAGAAACCACTAGCAGGGACACCATCATCAGGTAATTAATGTTAAAGTTAAAAATTTTACAGATTAGTATACCTGGGAGGTTGCACTTTCAAGAGATTAATATTTCCTCCTCCCATAATAAGTAGTAACTAATTTTGTACTAATTACATAGTAGTAGATATATTTCACATCAAGAGAAAAATATTGAAACTGTTACTCAAAAGAAGTAATTCTATATAGTATATGATCTTCATATTCTGGAATAAACACCATAAATAAATACATGTAACAGGTTGTGTCTAACATGTATTTTTTTTAAATGTTAAGCATTGAAAGTATATATTTATTAATTTTAATGTTTTCTAGGAGATGAAAAGGAGAGTAAAGTTGCCTCATGCAGTACTGCGGATATAGGTATGTCTTGGACACGCTCTAGTACCTTACTTCTAATAACCAAATACAAAACATATCAAGAGAAAATTAAGAAAGGTTTGATCAAGAAGAAAACCATGTGGGAGGAAATTGCCACAGGGATGAAAGATGAAGGATACTCCTATAATCATGAGCAAGTCTCAGGGAGATGGAAGACTTTGCAGAGAGGATACAAAGCAGTCAAAGACAATAAGAAGAAAAGTGGAACTGGAAGAAAGCGTTTTGAATATGAGTCTGAATTGGATGAAATATATTCCAAAGATCCTGCCATTACTCCAGAAGTAACTGCATGTAGCACTGACTCCAAAATTTCTGCAGAAGTTCCCAACGATTCAGAGGATGGTGACGATGAGAGTTCAAGGTCGTCTACGCCCACACCATCAGGTTCAGGTACTAATCCAAAGAAAAGAAAGCGTACATCTACTTCAACAGAGGTCATTGATGTAATGAAAAACTTTATTGAAAATCAGGAAAAAAGAAGAAAGGAGGAAAGTGAGCGTAAAGAAAAAATGCATCATGAAAAGATGGATTTGATGAAAAAACTCATTGAGACAATGGGAGCACATCACTAGTGAGTGTTGTGTTCCTTATACCTTGGCTCAGCACAAATATCCTTACATGATAAAATTAAAATATGCATATGGCTGAAAATTATTATTACATGTATTTACTTGTACTTTTTGTGTAAATCCTTAGAAAATTGAATTATCTAATTTTAATTTTAACATTATTATATTAAATACATGTACACATTTAGTTCCTTGAAATCAAAGAGTAGGAAACATTCCATTACATGCGTTTGGTCATTATTTTTACAATACATGTACAGTCATGTACTATTGTTACATTTAATCCATTTACAAGTTCTTACTCCATGTTAAAGATTACATATTACATGATCTTGACTTTGCTCATAGGAACTCCTGTTTAATTTTTGTTGATATAATCTCTTTTCAGGTGAATGTGAAATCTGCATGGAAGAAAGTCATCCAAAAGAAGTAGTGTTTGTTGACTGTGGCCACCTTGTGTGCTGTATTCCATGCAGCAAAGCTCTAGAAGTCTGTCCAATATGCAGATCAAGAATTGCGAAAAAAGTTAAAGTGTTTTTTACATAGACTCTTAAGCACAAGGGCACAAAATAGTGAATGGTTTCTTTCATTTTTTAAAACTTGTTCTGAGTTGTGCCATAAAACTTTTCAAAGTATTTGTGGTAGGATTTTTAATATTTCGTTTTATCACTGAAAGCAATGCAGTTGTTTTTGTTTCATCTGTTTGTTGATTTTTTTTCTTGCAGAGGAAAAGTTATTCTCCTGAAAATTCAACTATGTACTATACATTACACAAACTGTTATTGGATAATTGCTAGTCAGAATTGTTTGCATTTTTTATTTTGTTTTGGTACAATTTAACAAATAGTTTTTATTATTTACTACAAACTCCCAAATAGGTTATTTTCATTGTCATTTTTCTATTTTATTATGTCCAAGTATTAAACATTTTTTTCTACATTAGTTCATGATTACTTGCTTGGAACTGAAAAAAAAAAACATGGATGGATAATGTATTACATGTAATTTAGACTTGGCTACAGCTAAAAAAAAACTTTGTTTGCAGTTGTTTACCCACAATTCTAAGAGTGGCTAGATAGTTTTTTTTTTTAAAGAAATAGTTTGGCTTTTATACATTACAAATCTTGTGACTTTTAAAGGATGCTTGAATGCACCAACCTGCTTTATTTGAGTCCCTAACCAAGTTCATTGATGGACATAATTGAGAACTAAGTAAAATTTTTGTAATATTTATTGCTTAGACAACTAAATTCTCTTAAACTTAAGTGTTAAAAAATAAGTTTGATGAATAGGTGAAATGGGGGTGGGGGGTTAGATTCATTGAATCTATAAGTGGATTTGTAGGCAGCTGCAATGAATAATTAATTTTTTGACCTTGTATTACGTTCATTAATGGCAATGTCTATTGGAGAAACAATCTTTTTTTTCTTCCATGACCATGATATATTGAATTTAAGTATTATTTGTTGTTATTATCTTTTAAGCTGTAAGGAAAAGAATGTTTGTGGCATGTAGTCTTAATACATGGATTACAATGTAAATTTCATCAAAACATCTGTAAAGGACTTTTTACAGCTGACTTTAAATACCTGTCAAGATATATCTTACTCTTTTTGACATGTTCCATAGTTTTATTTACATAAAAAAACATATAAGTTCGATTTGACATCTTTTGTTGAGTTTTGTTACATTGTTATATTTTTCTGTATTAAATTGTATTGAACAGTTACTGTATTCTTTATTGAATATGATGTTTAAAAACATGATGCATTCATTCTGAAGTTAGCCTATCACAAAAGATTCCTGGCTATTTGATTACGTTTCTGTACACCCTGGGCTTCACAGTCCTGGATTCCTGGAACATTATAATTTGCTGCAATAACATCTTGCTGAATGAAATCGTCGACTTCATCATGGTTGAAAATGCAGACATTATGTAAAACACAAGAGGTCATGATAATTTTGACAGCATACTCAATTTTCTGGGTTTCCAGGAAACGCAATCGGCGGAATCTACCCTTCAGAAGAGCAAATGCTCTCTCAATTACCATTCTGTTGCTGGACAGGTAGTTGTTATAGCGGCGTTGCTCGTGTGTCAGGTGACCATTGTCTCGGTAGGGAGTGAGTAGCCATATTCTTAGTGGATAGGCTGCGTCAGCTATGATATGGTATATATTTGGAATCATTTGTAATCCATTTTCCCATAAATCGGAATTCCTAAGAACTCTTGCGTCGTGACAGCTTCCTGGAAATCCGGTAAATACATGAGTAAACATCATGTCTTCCTTGCATACCGCTTGTAACTGCAAGGAAGGAAATCCCTTCCAACATGGTTTGTTGGTTTTGCTATTCTAATATGAGTCCCATCTAATGCACCAGCAATCCCTGGAAATCCGTTCTTTTGCTGGAAATTGCTTGCGATTTGATTTAATTCATTGGGATTGGGCCATTTTATAAATTTTGACTTGAGATGAGTTAGAATTGAATTCATAACTCGGTCTCTAGCCCTGATTACCGAGGATGGCGAAATGCCAAAACGGTCTGCTATCCTGTCAATGCTGTCGAGAGTCCCTAGGTACCATAATGTGGTTAAAATATCTTTTTGTGGAGACATTCGTTCTTTACCACCATTACCGTCTTTCTTCATCTCTGGAACTTCCTCTAGATATGAAGAGAGGATTTGAAATGTCTGTCTTGACAGTCGAAACATTCTTCTAAATGAAGCATCAGAATAAAGGGGAACCACATCCTCCACATATCCATATATTTTTGGTTTTTCTTTCTTTCTGTAAATAAAAAACATCCAAATGAATATTTATTTCATATGCCAACCTCATTTAGTTTTTTTTTTCATTTTTGTTTCAATACTAATACCCAAGCCACTATAAAACACACGTGATCAAAAACCTTTTAGTTTTTAATTGATTCATAAATAGCCTTTACTTACATAGCGCCTGCTAGTGCAGGTAATAAGATATTTTCGTCCTCAGAATCAGAGTCAGTGTCGGAATCTTGAAATAAAACAAAAAGCAGACAGGTTTTCCGCCCATTGGCAGCCATGTTGAAAATTTCTCTTCTGTTCCGGTTCATTCCATTCATCACGGAGAACAGAACGTCCGGAATCGAATCGTAACGAATGAATGGAACGCATCCTAAATATGCACTTCTTAGCTGAGGTGAAACAAGCGGGCGGATCCTGGATCTTCCAATTTTTAAAGCTTGTTTTCTGTACTAAAAACTTTTCACTTCCGTTTCCTTTTGTGAAATTTGATTACTTAGGTAAAAGGGAACTTTTAGCAAGAAGAATAAACTACGTGTTTTATTTTACGACGACATAATACCTTATATTACTTACAATGCTATTCGCCATTTTGCTTTAGAAAGTTCGGGAAAACAGAGTACCTGTGACGTCGTATTTTGAAACGTGACGTCGAACTGCTGCACTATGTAGGAACCAGAACAGAACAGAACAGAACATTTATTTTCTAATTTAGAGCCCATAACAGACAAGTATGAAATTATTACAATAATAAAGAAAAGATATGCCAATGGATAGTATAACAACTTGTAAATGACATTACTCATTTCAACAATAATATTGTACTATTTCACCTGTGAGGTGTTAACATGGTCGCGTTTTTCTAGGTATTCGCTGGATTTAAACGATGTTTAAGCGGTAAAGATATTAGTAAGTGTTTGCAGTGGTCCTTTTAAATACGTATTGGTATGTATTATCGTTCTTCGTGAGTTATTTCTTTATGAAATCGGTAGTAGGCAAATTTGCTAAGTAAGGCAACACAGCGGAAGACTCGAATCGGACGCATGCGCAGTGTGCGTAGTCCGTGCCCGGCACGACTACGGAACGTAGAACAATTTCAACAAACACATAAAAGTAGACACATATCCCAGTACCAAATAAAGAACAAAGAAGAATAAAGTTAAGAACATATATAACACGTACATAAATTAAACACATTTATATACAAGAAAAGGCACAGTTCAGCATGATTTATTCATCTCCATTATTTAGAAAAGGGTTCTACGGCAAATTTCAACTGCAAATCTGCTTCTACAATCTACAGATGTGTTCTACATCAATAAACAACATTTTGTTAAATTCCGAAACATATAATTATTCCGAGATAAAATAATACCCTGTTTCAATATTTTTTGAGTAAATTTACCATCTAAGTTTGTAAATATTTTTTAAAAGTCTTTGTCAGAATGTTTTCAATCTTTAATATGATGAAGAACATACCCAAAATAACTACAAAAAGGGATTAAAATATATACCTTTCCCCGCAAACGAATGAGAGACACTCTATTTATCAATACTTCATTTGTTGACCTTTTTGCACTTACACAGGATTCAAGTATTAAATGACTGTTTGGGGTTACGTTCAGATTTACAATGTGAAAATTTATCAAAAAATGTAATTTTTTTTCTTTAAAAAGATGATATTTTAGGGAAACATTATTATTATACACCAACCATTATGAATAATTAACAAATAATTATGAAAGGGAATGCACGTCATTTCATGATAGAAATTATAAAATTTACACACAATTTTTAACAGATCTTTGACTCAGACACATTTCATCAAGATATTGTACTATTTAGATTTCTTGGGATTTTTGATTGCCTTCAAAATAGTTGCATGCCATTCACATTATCACAGTTGTGTAACTTCATTACATGAGACAGTCTTGGAGAAAGTACGGGAAAAAAGTAATATTAAATCAATTATGACATCATAATGGATCTAGCACCAAAAAAGACGGTCTAAACTCATTTACTTGATATGACGTCATACGACGTAGGTTCTACGTTAAGGTCAAGATCTAGTAAATAAAAGGAGCCTACAGATTTCTCAAATTTGAGAAATAAATTCCTTTAATGAAGCTTTATAAGTATAGCTTGGTCAAATAAGGTGTTTCGGGGCATAATTTGTAGGTAAATAAGACGAAAAATCATGTATTAAACTTTCATTTTCAATGAAAAATTAAGAAAATCAGTCACGAATATGGGAGTTTTTTCCATATCAGACAAATTAAATGTATCCAGATTGCCTACAGTCTCTCAGAAAACGGTATTCTGTATGTTCTTAGCCTCTTCTTTAAAATAATATTAAATTGAATATAGGTTTCGGGATTACTTTTCACATGATTTCAAATTGAATTCCAGAAAAGTATTTTATTTTCTACATAATTCTTTTACAGCTGTAAAGTACGGGAAAAAGAAAGTTTAGTTTGATTATGACGTCATAATGGATCTAGCATCAAAAAGGCAGTCTAAAACACAGGTATTTGTGGACAGGACCCCCCCCCCCCTCCAATATGCCCCACAGATCAAAAATTATTTTTATGTATTTTTTTTCATAAATTATTCTTCTAGTACACATTTACAATGTATTCCATAAGAAAAATCCAAAAAATAACGCAGAATTAACGTTTTACTAAAAAATCATACCCGCGGTATTATAAATTTTGACACATGTCACATGACTCAATTGACTATATTGACGTCATAGTCAATTGATGTCATAGTCACTGTTCATGTAGGTGCTAAACGTTGTTATATAATTACCTGTATTTGTGTAATTTTTGTTCAACTTGTTAAGCTTAAACATTTTATGTAAAATATTCAATAGTTTTAAACGATTGTGTAAATATTTTAAAATTGTGAAATCGATTGATCCACCCCTCTGTTTCTTTACGCTGCCGTCTAACAAGTCAGTGACGTCATATATGATCTCTCGGTGCAGTGAGATCAAGTACACCTGGTCAGTATTACCAGGGACCTATATACTAAGTATATAGGTCCCTGGTATTACATTAAAAAAGATTTCAGCCAATGTATCGTGATGGATTTTTTGAAGCAGGAATTACAAGAATAATTTTTACATGGTAGGTAGCAAAGATTATCTGAATTAAGGTCAAGATCTAGTAAATGATCGAAAGGTGCCTACAGATTTCTCAGATTTGATAAATAAATTCCTTAAATGATGCTGTATAACTTTAGCTTGGTAGAATAAGGTGTTTCGGGGCATAATTTATAGGTAAACAAGACCCAAAAAATCATATTTTAAACTGTCATTTTCAATGGAAAATTAAGAAAACCAGTCAAGAATACGGGATTTTTTTCCATATCAGACAAATTAAATGGATCCAGATTGCCTAGAGTCTCTCAGAAAACGGTAATTTGCATGTTCTTGGCCTCTACTTTAAAATAGTATTAAATTGAATATAGGTATCGGGATTACTTTTCACATGATTTCAAATTGAATTCCATGAAAATACTTTATTTTCTACATAATTCTATTAGAGCCGTAAAGTACGGGAAAAGGAAAGTTGAAATTGATTATGACGTCATAATGGATCTAGCACCAAAAAGTCAGTCTAAAGCCATTTACTAGATCTTGACCTTAATATTCCATTTCGCTTGTGTAAGTTTTCGTGTGACGTCACAGTTGTTTTTCCCGTACTCGGAAAATGTAAACATGAAGCGTTTTTACCACGCTTATGTCTTGTTCAAGAATGTCCTGTGTGATAATGAGGTAAGCTTCATCTTACGATATTGCTACAATTAATTACTACGAAGAAGGACTTCAGTTCAATCGTAAATTTTAAAATATTTATTGATAGAATTTTTTCCCATATCCGTTTTTTTTTTGAAGCTGTCTTGAAAAGTGCGTAATTTATCCAATCCATATACATTGTGAAGTATGAAAAAATGCCGTAAGAATTCTAAACACTATTTATATTCTGAATATTTAAAGAGCAGCATGTCCTTACACACATGTTTTGTTTGTGCTTATAAATTCCCATTATAGGCCCAATAAAGGACCCGTAAACACGAAGTAGCAGTCTTAAGCACAACCCTGATTTTCCCACTGCTTTTTGGCACCTTTCAATTGCTCTTTTGGCTTTTACATTTTCGTCAATTTCAGGTCCACATCTGGACAGAAGAAGAAGAAAAACTACTAATATCAGCGAGAGAAGATATTGATGATGAATTTCATAAACTAAAAAATCATGAAGTGTTATGGGCAAGAATCACAACAAACATGTATCGCAATGGTGTTAAAGTGACAAGATCTCAAGTAATGAATTAGTGAAAAAATCTAAAAAAAGAAATATCGCGAAGTTCTTGATGAAAATAACAAAACTGGTAACAAAAGAATAACATGGAAGCAGTTAGATGCTTTCGACAAGATTTTTGGACATAAAGCTTCCTCCAGGGCCGCTTGTACATATGACAGCAGCAAAAAAGAAAATAAACTTTCAACTAGTGGTTCAGACCTATCTGCACTGGATTCTGCAGCCAAAGATTCAGCCGTAGTAGATGGTACTAAAGATCCCAAACAAAACAAGGAGTCTGCACGTAAAGAACGACTAAGGAAAAGGAAATCAGAATCTCTGTCATCTATGTTTGAGCGGTTAGAAGATATTAGAAAGAAGATGGTGGAACAGATGAACACTCATCAGCAAGAAAAAATGGAGAGATTTGACAAATTTCTTGATATATTTTCAAAAACAAAAAATGCAGATTAAAATTAATTTTCATGATGGCGTTTCCATTTTGAAGGTGTTAATTAGTATAATTTACACCTACCATAACTTGCAAGGAAGGACCTGTGCCGTAAGATGTTGAAATGTTTTCTTTTTTAATTTTTAATTTAATACACTTTTTCAATTTAGAGTCTCATATGCCTATGGTATTGCAATTTTTTGAGCTTTAAATGATTTGTTGTATACAGTGACATTCTGTTTGAGAATATGTGTACATTGTAAATTTTAGGTCACTGAGCAGATTTTGATACATAATCTTAAAGATGTTTTCTTCCAAATAATTATTTCAATTTTTTGTCTTGCAATAATATACATATTATAGTTCTAAGAATATGTTCAGTCATTCTGACATGATTTCATTACACAGAGGAAAAGTATTCCTGTAATTTTCTAGTCATTTTTTTTGATATTTTTTTTTCATTTATTTTGTTATTGAACACAGTTGTTATTTTTTCTTGTTGTTTTATTATTAAAATTAAGATGTTAATTACAAGCTTTTCTGTTATCAACCACTTAAGTAAG